TTTCTAGAAAAAAAATTCTTTACAAATTTTTTTAAATATTTTTCAATCTTTTTAGCCAAAAAATGGACAGCCATTGGATTTGAGACATTTTTGGATCGAAGCCTCTAGAAGAAGCCACGTGGCTTGTAACTGTTGGTTTTCTGGTAGCGCTGATGTCACGTTGACGTTAGCACAAGCTTTTCAAAAAAAAATTTAATGTTGGCGTGTGAAATTTAAAAAATCTTGTGCTAACGTTAAAGCCCGAAGGCAAGGAAACAAGTGATAATTGGTAGGTATTTATAGAAAAAAATTCTTTACAAATTCTTTTGATATTTTTTCAATCTTTTTAGCCAAAAAATGGACAGCCATTGAATTTGAAGACATTTTTGGATCAGAGCCTCCAGAAGAAGCCATGTGACTTGTAACTGTGGTTTCTGGTAGCGCTGATGTCACGTTGACGTTAGCACAAGCTTTTCAAAAAAAAAAAAAATTAATGTTGGCGTGTGAAATTTAAAAATCTTGTGCTAACGTTAGCAGCCCGAAAGGCAAGGAAAACAAGTGAATAATTGGTAGGTCTAGAAAAAAAAAAAAATAATTTAGCAATTTGTTAAAAAATTTTTTTTTTTAAATAAATAAATTTTTCATTTTTTTTTTTTATTTTGGGAAAGCCAGGGGTGCACATCATTGAAGGACTTTTTTGTTCGAAGCCTCTAGAAGGGAGCACGGGGTTGTAACTGTTGGTTTCTGGTAGCGCTGATGTCACGTTGGACGTTCACAAGTTTTCAAAAAAATTTATGTTGGGCGTGTGAATTTAAAACAATCTTGTGATAAACGTTAAAAGCCCGAGGCAAGGAAACAAGTGATAATGTAGGGTATTTATAGAAAAAATTCTTTAAAATTCTTGTGATATTTTTTCAATCTTTTTGAGCCAAAAAAAACGGGACAACCATTTGATTTGAAGACATTTTTTGGATCGGAGCCTCAGAAGAAGCCACGTGGCTTGGAGTGTTGGTTTTGGTAGCGCTAAGTCATGCGGACGTAGCGCAAGCTTTTCAAAAAAAAATTATGTTGGCGCGTGAAATTTAAAAATCTTGTGCTAGGTGTTAGCAACGAAAGGCAGGAGGACAAGCCAGATCTCCCTCGTAGGCTTGGGCAGATCGTGGGTCCCCGCCGTGCCCTAGCTGGAAATCTTGCGCGCGGAGTCCTCACGGAAAAGATAATAGTGGTCATTTACTATGATTTTATTTGTTTTGGTCTCCAAGTTTCGCTTTATGTCCCCATCAATGTATTGATTTGTCATAAATAAATACCCTCTTTTCATCGAGGTTATATAAAAATATTAAAAGATAACACAAAATCAATTAATGGCAACAAAGATCAGTTTAGTGAATGAATTTAAGCTTTTTATTCATTTTTTTTTTCTAATGGCAAAAGATGATTTAGGCTTTTTATCATAAAACGTCTGATATTTACGAAACTATTAGATTGTGTCCTTAAAGTTTTTTTGTATCACTCGTAGTCCCCAACTATCATATTAACCCCTACATGACTTCTATCAAAAATCACTTCTATGCATCAAAAATCCTAGACCACTTCCATGAAAAGCCATAAATTGGTACTAATTTTTCTGCGGCAGAATTCAAAAATATAAATGCTGGAAAAAGGTATGTTGGTGAATGTGATAGAAAATATGACATGGAGCAGAGGATAATATAGTCCATTTATGCCACGGTGTCAAATCAGAGTGGCATAGAGAGACAGAGAAGAGACGACGTGAATACATCATGAAGTGGACACACTTATTCATAGATTTTGCAATCTTAATGGATACTTGCAGATTAGCTTTACTTATCAGAAAAAGCGTATAAAAAAAACATTTTAAGTACACTGCACAAAAGAAGAGGCCAATAGTCACTCTTTTGTCACTAACTAATTGGTACGGGTGACATAATATTGTTTGGGGTGATTTTATTGGCACCCCATTATTTGCTCTTTACACCCCATACTAATTTAAAATATAAATAACCTATTTTACCCTTGTACACAATTACCGTTAAGGACAAAAAAATTTAAAATTTAAAATTAAATTGCTCACTACACCCCACATATGTTCCTGCAACCCTAGTTTGAGTTTTTTCTCAAACTATCATGTTCCTAAACCCTAAACCCTAGATTTATACGTTTATACTGGTGCAAAAATATCTTGCATTTATTCATGAAGGGTGAGATTGAAGTTAGAGAGGCTTCAAATGAGGTACGAGTTTATTTTTGGCGTTTTTCAAGTTTAGTATTTCGTAACATGGTTGCGTTCAGTACATCAATACCGAACGCGACAGGTAAATTCAGTGGGATGCCACCGAAACGTTGCACCATTTTCGGTAGGGTTCGACTAGTCAGCAACGTAATATTCGGTGGAGATCCACCCGTAAGATGGAACGTAGTTTAGTGGTATACTGCGATGGGGTGTGTCCTGCAGAGGAGAGAATTTTTGATGGGGTGTGTCTGCAAGAGGAGAGAATTTACTTCTGAAAGACGGTGGAAATTTCAGGGGTTCACACTACTGGGAGGAAAGTAAGTTTGGCAAAGACTGACCCATGTTTGGTGCAGTAGAAAGTCTCCCTTCGTGAATCATGTGTTTTAGTAGAATTATTGTACAGGAGGAGTTGAGGCTATGGTAACGATTATAAATACACAACTAATGCTTGTATCTTGAGATATCAGACAAGCATATATACTTCACCAGTTTTATCTTTGTCTCAATACTTGTGCTTCTTCGTCTTCATCATGACTCTAACTACATGGTTGGAGTAAGGTGCTGCTTCAAACTCCTCTGTGCAATTGTCGTGCTCATTTTACTACACATGAACAATCCTTGCATTGGATGCAGCGAGAGGGAAAGGCAGGCACTCCTTGCACTTAAACAAGGTCTCGTGTTCGTGGATGGCTACGGCTGAGCAATCCCTTCCTTTCCTGGGGAAGAGAAGCCCAAAACAAAGATTGCTGCGAATGGGATGGAGTCCACTGCAGCAACCAAACTGGCCATGTTGTTAAGCTTGAACTCTATGTGTGCAAGGTAAGATTAGTCCTAAACTCATTGAGTTGCAGCATTTGGAATATTTGGACCTTAGTTTCAATAATTTCAGTCGGAGCCAAATTCCAGATTTCATTGGATCTCTGAGCAATTTAAGATACCTCGATCTCTCTGAAGCAAATTTTGGAGGTTTAATTCCATATCAACTTGGAAACCTTACAAACTTGGAACATCTCGATCTTCAAGTATTCTGTCTCTCTTTATGCAAAAAATCTCTATTGGCTTCCTAATCTTTCGCGTCTAAAATACTTGGACCTAAGTTTCGTTAATCTCAGTGATGTTGGTTGGCTGGAAGCAGTTAATATGCTTCCTAAACTAACAAACTTGCATTACGGGAGTGTAATCTTCCTCCTCCAGTTATATCCTCTGTTTCTCTCTTGAATTCTTCTAAATCTCTTGTTGGTGTCGATCTCTCCGAAAACAATCTTAACTCATCAATCTTCCAATTGTTGCCCGGTCCTCATCCCAACCTTGTTTATCTTGATCTCTCGGGAAATAAATTGAGTGGAAGAATACCTGAAAGTATTGGACAGATGTCCAATCTGTTCATCTTGATCTCTCGAAAATAAATTGAGTGGAAGAATACCTGAAACTCATTTCTCGAAACTCCCCAAATTATGGTTTTTGGATTTATCCTCTAACTCACTAGTTTTAAACTTCAGTTTTGATTGGGTTCCTCCCTTTCAATTGCGTGAGATAAGATTGGGGTCTTGTAAGATGGGGCCGTATTTCCCGGAATGGCTTCGAACTCAGAAAAGTTATGACGTGGCTGGATATTTCTGATGCTGGAATTTCTGATACCATTCCAACTTGGTTTTGGGATTTGCCAAATGTGTATAAGGATTTGTCTCGCAATCAAATTAGAGGAAATTTGAGATCAGAGTTAACATGTGATTTTTTAAATGTGAGTTGGAACCAATTGGAGGGTCCAATCCCTTCAATCCTATCAAGCGTGTCAAGTCTAGATCTGTCCAATAATAAATTTTCAGGGTTAGCTTCATTATTGTGCACAAGTACAACCGAGAAGAGTAATTTAGAATATCTTGATCTCTCAAGCAACCATTTATCCGGAGATCTTCCAAACTGCTGGATCCATTTTCAACAATTAGTCTTTCTTGATTTGAGCAACAACTTTTTATCTGGGAAAATTCCTACCACGATGGGATGCTTGTTTAGTATCGAGACACTAAAACTAAATAATAACAGATTCGTCGGAGGGTTGCCTTCACAATTGAAGAATTGCATAATGTTGACACTTGTTGATGTTGGGGAAAATAAATTGTCAGGATTAATACCTGAATGGCTAGGGGAAAATCATCTACAACTGGCTATCATTATCCTTCGATCTAATCAGTTTTGTAGGAGCATCCCGTCACAGTTATGCCATCTTAGACACCTTCAAATTTTGGATTTGTCGATGAACAACATCTCTGGAACTATACCGAAATGTCTCAACAATTGGACTACTTTGGCTCAAAAAGGAACGTCAACTCTAACTATGAAACATGTGATCGGTTCTTGGGACTATATAGATGAAGAATATGTAACATGGAAAGGAGTAAGGTCTAAATACAAAAGCACTCTGGGACTTTTAAAGAGTATTGATCTCTCATGCAATAAGTTGAGTGGGGAGATTCCTACTAAATCACTTATCTTGTTGGTGTGGTTTCTTTAAACTTGTCGAGAAACCGATTAACAGGTCAAATACCTTCAAGGATTGGAAATTTGGAGGAGTTGGATTCTCTTGATTTATCAAGAAACCAATAAATGGCAGAATTCCAACAAGTCTTTCTCGGATATATCGTATTGGTTACTTGGACTTGTCACAAAACAACTTGTCTGGAAAAATTCCAATAGGCACTCAGCTCCAAACCTTTGTCTTTGCTTATGGTGGAAATCCTCTGCTTTGTGGAGAACCACTCCCAAGGACATGCTCCGAGGAGGAAAAAGGTCCAGGACAACTGTGTTGGTGAATGAAGACGATAAAGATGGGCTCATAACACAAGGATTTTACATCAGCATGGGGCTTGGGTTTGCTGTTGGATTTTGGGGAGTTTGCGGCACTCTTCTGCTCAACAGGTCATGCAGATATGCGTACTTCAATTTTTTGACATTTCTGAACGATTGGCTGTACGTGAAGGTAGAAATCATCAGCAAAGGATCCTTAATAAATAAAAGGTAATTACTACTATCTTTCTTACATACTAGTTATGAAATTAAATTATGCAAGTTAGTTGTTCTTAACCCCGAATATACATGCAGATATTACATAACATAAGAAATGAAAACTAAAAACTAAAATTGAAATGATTATCAAACGGGCCCTTAGTTTATGTGATTTATCTTTTTCAATCTTATGGGTTGTTTAACCTTTGTCTTTAGCGCAGGCACCTTTGAGACGACATGCTTCCCTTCAGTTGAAGATGGATGCGATGGACTCCTATTTGTACTAGTTTTCGAGTATTTGAGTGATGATAAGGGATCTCACTGAAATAAAGGAACCATTTTAGTAGATTAGTTGTGCTGTTATTTGTAAGAACTTAATGGGAACTTCTCCCATGAACTATTTGGTATGATGTTCTTATGTACCTCATGGTGTATGTTTTTTTCTTTTGCAATGTAAGAAATGCAAACGCAGAATTGCCTTTTATTGTATTGTTGTTATGAATAAAACAATGGAATTTGAGTTAACATATGTTATTATCTTTCGTCTGTGTAAGAAAGAAAATACTTGTCTTAAAACAAAAGAAAAGAGAAATTGATGATACACTGGGCCTGCTCAAGTTTGCTGTATTCTACATTGGGCTATAAAGTATCTCAGTCTCATAAACACAAGGAAATAGCAATAGAATGAAGAAGGGAAAAATAGAGCAAAAACAAGGGAGAGGATATTGCTCTCGGCACTAGCTTTTCTATTTATACAAAAAGACATGTACATATTAATAACAACTCTAGGACATTAATTTGAACAACTTGTGCACTAATTCATCAAAAGTCATGAAATGTAAAAAAAGAAAAGGAAATTACGCTTCTTTAGAATCAAGGTTTCAATGATGGAGCCAATTGCAAGAGACGACGCTTATTAAGTTGGAAGTAAATTTTTATGGATTGGCTATGAGATGTGCTTTATGACATATGAAAATTGCAGAAGTGAAGAAGGAACTATACAAACAGATGATAGTAGAAACATTTCCTTGGAAAAAGATGTAAAGAATGTACCACAATTTGCACTGGTGGGTGCTTTGAATTTAGATTTGGACTGATGGTGATGATGACCACCATTGACATTAATAGTACAACTACTAATCTTTTTATAGGCCAGTTAGGTTTCTATGAGCTAGGTGGGTCCCTCACCTTTAAAAAAAGCAAATAGTATAGCCGCGCCGCTATACTTCGGGTTTTTTGAAGTCTTTTAATAAATAGTATAGCCGTAGGGCTATACTTGAGTTATTTTCTAGATTTTTCTAATAAATAGTATAGCCGCTCGACTGTACTTGGAGTTAGTAAGGGCTTCTTTTCCCCTTGCAAGATACGGTAGCTGAGATTTCAATGAAATGGACTAAAGATCTGAGAACTGGCGCTCTTGGGGTGAGATTCATGGTGTTGATCTAAACACAATCATGTTCAACATGGAACAAGGCCAGACACGACAGAGGCATGTTTCTTTCCCCTCCACTTTGTGTCTTTTAGCCTCCAAATCAAAGAGAATGAGATTCCTTTGTGTCTTGCTAGAGAAATTGCGCAAGATACTTTTACATTCTCAATTATTTTTATAATTCTATTACAATTACATTCAATGTTTTCAGGAAGTAAGTTTGTCCTTCTAATCCCTATAAAATGGCAGGACACGAACACCTTATAGCTTACCGTTCTAATCCGCACAAGTTGTAAAAATCCTTCATCTCTACTTCCAGTGGCAGACCTGTGCAGGCGCAAGGAGGTGCACCTGCATCTCCGGTCTCCGGAAAACTCCATTAGAGATGCTGGAGTTGCACCTCTGCTTCAGAACAACGACACACACCACATGTTCAATGAAATGCACAAACCAGTCTGCGCTGAGCTGCTGCTGGTGCTTGTTTGTTTTTTTTTTTTTTTTTTTTTTTTTTTTTTAAGCCTGGCCAAAATGACGTTGTTTTGGACCAGTCTTTTTAAAAAGGCGCTGCTTTATTTTATTATTTTTTTAAAACCTGGCCAAAACGACGTCGTTTTGGTCCAGGGTTTTTAAATTAAAACAAAACGGAAAAAAAGGGAAACTTAAGCTATAATTCGTGGGCTTTTCAAAGGGCTTTTAAAATTCCTTACTTAATTGGGTTTTAATTGGGAGTTCCCTTTATTCAATTGGGTTTTGGGAATTCCTTAATTAAGTAGGATTGAGATTTCTCTTTATAAAAGGCCAATTTAACATCACCCAATTTCATCAAAGTGTGTGTGCATCACAAGAATCCTGTGTTTTTTTTTCCTTCTTGAGTACGCCAATCCAAAGTAAGTCGAATGCATTTTTTTTTCTTGAGCAAATGCCAATTTTGTTTATTCTTTTTTTAACAATTTTTTTTTCTTATTAGCTATCTCGGTATTAGTAAGATAAGTAGCAAATTCGAGGAGGAAGAGGCTACGTGACACGTTATTTGAGGTATAATTAATTTTAATTTGTTTATTTAATTGATAAACTATAGTCAATTAGTCATAGTAATAGATATAGAACCTTTATTTTGTTTTAATTGTACAGTTATGGAACGGTACTTTCAGAGAAAGAGTTTAAATCCTCCTTCAAATAATTCGTCTAGTTCCAACCCTCCTTCAAATAATCCGCTAGTTCCAGCCCTCCTTCAAATAATCCGGCTAGTTCCAGCCCTCCTTCAATAATCCGGCTAGTTCAAATCATCCTTCAAATAATCCACCTACTTCACATCCTCCCTTGAATAATTCGAGTAGTCCAAAACGATTAGAGGTCACTGAGTTGGATGAAATATTGGCTAATCTTCCTGCATACCCTGGACTTAGACCTCCAATGACTTATTATAATCCCAATTTTCAAGAACAAATCCGAAGAGCCTATCTGCAAAGGAGTCCTTGTCAGCCTAAAAGCCAAAATGACATGCCTCAAACACTTATGGGGGAGAATAATCGACATTTTCTTGTGAAATTGTTTGATTCATTTGTTTGGTTGGAGTATATTAAAGAAAAAGATGCTGCATTTTGTCTTCATTGTTATCTTTTTAAATGCGACTTTGATAAACAAGGAAAGGCTGGAAGCGTTGTCTTCACTGAGAAAGGGTTTAAAAATTGGAGGAAGGGACCTGGGCATTTTAGGGACCATGTTGGACAAGTTGGAAGTCTTCACAATAAAGCTACACAACATTGTACATATTTAATGAATCAGAAGCAACACGTTGAAACCATTGTGATCAAGCAGACAGACCAAGCTTGTAGTAATTATCGCATTCTATTAACTGCCACACTTGATTGCACTAGATATTTATTGCGACAAGGTCTTCCTTTTCGTGGTCATGATGAAAGCGAAACATCTAGAAATAAGGGTAATTATGTGGAGCTTTTGCAATTTCTTGCCAATCATAATGAGAAAGTTCGTGCCGTTGTGTTTGAGAACGCTCCAAGGAATCTCAAGTATATGGCTCCTAAAATTCAAAAAGAATTTGTCAAGTCTTGTGCCGCTGAAACCATTGATGCAATTATTAGTGATATGGACGATGCATTATTTTCTATATTGGTAGATGAATCACGTGATGTTTCAATAAGAGAGCAAATGGCGGTGGTGTTGGGTTATGTGAACAAAAAAGGGCAAGTAATTGAAAGGTTTGTGGGTATCCAATATGTCTCTGATACGACTAGTAGCAAATTGAAAGAGGCAATTGAGCAGTTGATTTCTTCATCAAATTTGAGCATGTCCAGGCTACGAGGACAAGGGTATGATGGCGCTAGCAATATGAGAGGTGAGCTCCATGGTCTTAAAACACAGATTTTGAGAGAATATCCTCAAACATATTATGTCCATTGTTTTGCACATCAACTACAACTAACTCTTGTAGTCGTGGCAAAGGGAAATGAAAATATTGCTACTTTCTTCACAACGGCTAGTAGTGTCATTAATATTATTGGAGCGTCGTGTAAGCGTCGTGATGCACTTAGAGAGCAACAACAAAAGATATTATGAAAGCTCTTGAAATTGATGATCTTGAAACATGGCGAGGGTTAAATCAATAAACTACTCTCAAACGTCCTTGTGATACATGTTGGAACTCACATTATGATACTTTACTTAGTATTAATACTATGTTTCATCCTGTGGTGAAAGTGCTTGAATGGATTGTTGGTGATGTCAACCAGATAATTTAGATGAAGCAAATAGGTTGTTGAAAGAAATACAAACTTTTGACTTTGTGTTTCACCTATATTTGATGAGATTTATATTGGGAATCACAAATGATTTGTCAAAGGCATTACAAAAGAAAGATCAAGATATTGTTGTTCACCGTTTTGCGTTTACTCCTGTGGTGGAAGGGCAAAGTTCCCCACTGCCTTGTGAACCATTGACTGGTCAACAAGTCAGATTTCTTTGGTGTGCGAGCGTGCCACTGCTAGCAATGAATATTCTAGCAGACTTAGTTTAGAATGGATAACTTGCGCCCCAAGTTACTGATTTCTGCAAACAAACGATTGTGAATTTGGGTGAGGAATATCTCCCAAGTAAGTTCTTTTTCTTGCCTCAGACTAGTGAGGACTTTAACAATTTATCTCAGTATAAAGAGGTTGTTCTGGCCAGAATGGTTGATGAATTTAAACTGTCTCGAGCAGAACTGCCTTTTACAGAACTATAAAAATAAATATCCATGCTAGAAAGATGAAAGGACAGCTGGAAATTCATTTATGTCTGGATAGGAGGCTCTGATCCAGGCTAGACTGGACTGTTGACAACTTCAACTGCTAAGCTTCAGCTGTAAATCGATACCAAAGGTTAATTCTGGCAGAGCTTTAATGTACTTCAAGCTTTTGTGAGGCTTTTGAGTGGGCAGAACTGCGGTTTCTTCAGTCTGCAAGGGCAGAAGTGGCTGTTCTCGAGGGCTTCAGTGGGCTAGAGACTGCACTGTGAAATTTGTTGAGGTTTTCATGTTTGGGAAAAGCTCAAGCTCTACCTGTCTTGGTTCTTTGCTGAACCAAATTTATAACGAGAGAAATCTCATTTTAATTGACTTATTTCCTAAGTCTGAACCTTGGGAATTCTAATCTAAAGCTGGTTTCACTTGGAATTCAAGTGGGCTTTTGGTTGATTTTTGAGTTGTTTGTTTGTTTGATGATTTTTTTGGGTAAGATTGATTGTTTGTTTTTTTGATTGTCCCCTGCCCTGTTCACTCCTTCTTGTATTTATAGTAAATGTTTTCTGGAGTAGGGTGATTCTTTTAATAATGGGTGGCAAATCCTTTCAAAAAGATATCCCTTTAAGAAATGGAAAGAAAGAAAATAGGATTTCATCAGTTTTATGGTAGATAGGTTCTCACTAGGCAATCACTTCCCTATTTTTCTTGAAAGAGAACCTAATCTTTTCTTTTAATTTCAAATGCCCCTTTTGTGAGAGATAAAAATCCGTGATAGTTAGTTTGATTTTTTTCTGGACAGCTCCTTGTTTCCTGCTTATCTCTTCCAAAGTTTGCATATCTCTTGGGAGAATCACTTATAGAAAAAATATCTCTAAAAATATATTAATATGTAAGGGGATTTTGATCTTTCCTAATTTCAGAGATGTCCCTTCCTAGTTTTTGCCAGCTACTGACCCTTCCATTTATCAACTCTGTGGCAGTTGATTTTTTTGACTTTTCAAAGTATGAGAAAAGAACTTCACGTGGGGTTTCTTCTAAAGTATTTCTTTCCAGAATTTTGTTTCTTTTGGGCCCTTTTTGAGAGATGGTAATGATCTAGGCCCAGCCCGATTTCTTCTCTCTTTGATCTGCCTAGAACGAATTTTGCCCCTCTTTTGTGTATTTTTACATTTCTGCCATCCGTTTGAAAAATGTGGGTTGTGTTCTTTTCCTGTTTGATTTTTGAAGCCCAGGTCCTTTGCTCTACGGGCCTTCTGAGAAGTGGGCCTGTGTGTTTTTGCTTTTGGCCCAAACAATTGTGAATGCGATGATGTTGGTCCAAAGATGTAAGCAAAAGCTACAATCCGTAAGGGATGATGACTTTGAGGATTTGCTTCGCGAAGTATCAATATTTTGTGGCAACAATGATATTGACGTTCCTAATATGGATGATTTATTTGTACCACAAGGGAGATCAAAACGTAAAGCTCAGAAAATCACAAACCGCCATTATTATCGCATGGACCTATTTCTTACTATCATTGATAAGCAACTAGTGGAATTGAATAATCGCTTCACTGAGGTAAATACTGAATTGCTTCTTTGTATGGCATGTTTGAGTCCGGCTTATAATTTTGCAGCTTTTGACAAACAAAAAATACTTCGTTTTGCTAAATTTTACCCTCAAGAATTTAATGACCGAGACCTCATGAAGCTTGAAGATCAACTTGGGCTTTATATTGTTGATATGCAAAGCAGCACAGAGTTTTCATCATTGAACGGAATTACTGATCTGGCAGAAAAATTGGTGAATACAGGAAGGAGTAGAATATACAACTATGTGTATTTACTTCTTACATTGGCTTTAGTTTTACCCATTGCAACTTGCTTCGGTTGAGAGAGCTTTTTCAGCTATGAATATTGTGAAAACACCATTGCGTAACAAAATGGGAAATCAATGGTTGAGTGATAGTTTGGTTGTTTACATTGAGAAAGATTTTTTTCTTGTATTAGTAATGCAAATATAATGCGACGTTTTCATGATATGAAACCTCGTCGGCAACAATTATAGGTTAATTGTAATGTTATTTTTTTAATTAATTATGAATAACATTAGTATTTTTTTTAATGATAAGGATGTTTGGTTGTCTTTCTTTTCTTTTCTTTCTTTTTTTTTTTTTTTTTTTTTTTTTTTTTTTTTTTTTTTTTTCTTTTTTTTTTTTAAATTTCACCTCCGTTGAAAAATTTCCTGGAATTTCGGTTCTTCAGTGTGTGGGCTCCGTCATTTACTTAATTCAAGATGATGTTGATTCTATTGAGTTGTTTCATCCAATCCAATCCTAGACACTGAACGTCACCTATCAATAAATGACGTATATTCCTTTAGATATAATCCATGTTCTTTTTTTGTTGGTTCTCTTTCTAAAGTCAGTTCCTCTCGTCCCTTTTTTTATTTTATCATATTCTCATTCTTATGCTATTTTCATTGTGTGGAAGTATTTTGTCTTTCAGACCGATGGAGACGACCATGAGGAGAAGGCAGGGAATTAGTGATACCTTGATCATTACAAAAAATTCTATCTCAGCATCAGAAGCCAAAGAAATTGGTTTTAACGACATGAATGAACAATTTCGGGCTAGGAAGAGGGAGGTGTAGAAGAATCGTCATTTCTCGCAATGAAATTAAATCAGACAAAAGCTTGTCTGTTGGGATTGGCAATTTGTGCAACAAGTACTGCAACTTGTCGGTCGTAGTAATATTTCTTCTTGTTGTTGTTGCACATATTCCGTTGGGATTGTGGATAAAAAGGGCAACAAGACCTACAACGTTGTTAACTCAAGGGTAAGTACTATTTCATCTTCTTCTTCTTTATGCAGCTTTCTTTTCTTTTTTCCAACTTAGAACAAGTTTAAAAACTCCGTATGCTATAATATGTATTCTCGTTTTTGTTTTGCTTCTTTAGCCTTTTAGCATGTCATTTGTTTGGCCAAGGTTCATGGGAGTGCCTTGTCATGAATCTTCTTTGGTTTTGATTGGTAGTTAAAGAAAGAAAATTAGATTTTGTATATGCCTGTGCAGATTGCATATTATTGAAAAAGAGCAAGCAGACATGGGCTTTGCTATAGAGTATGATGTTGTGCTTGGTTAATACTTTTACGTTCAACTCAGTAATATAAAGTTTATATTTGATCTCATCGTAGACATATCTTTTAATTTCATTTTTGTTTCATAGCTAACTAGCTTTTTCTAATTTCATTTTTGTTCCATAGCTAAATAGCTTTTTCAATTTTATTTTTTCATGTCGACATTCTAGGGTAAGAATCTTGTTTAGTGAATGTGTCTGCTATTTTTTATTTATTAACTTTTTCTTTTGGTTTATTTTTCAGTGAAATATCTAGATTGACAATTTTGATTAACTATGATGGGAGGTGGGTTAACTCGACGTACGAAAATTGCAAAACTAAAGGAGTACTCGTTTCAGATAAAATTACAATGGAGGCGCTTCGGAAGAAAGTGTACAACATTGTGAATGTGGACCCAAATGAGTATGAGATAACTATGAAAGTTATATATGAAGCAATGAAAACTGCATGGCCGGCAGAGATAGCTGATGATGATGACGTGAGATCTTTTATTTTTGAAAGTCTTTCAAGTTCCTACAAGATTCCATTGTGCATTACATTGAAGGGTAAAATAAGCAATCAACAAGCTCCATCGGTTGACGTCGGACAAGAATCAATGCCAGTGGACCTCAACGTGAGTACTCAAGTTGTTTTAGAAGATAATCATGATTCAGAAAATGACTTGGGAAACAAAGAATTTAAGGACTCTGAATCTGAAGTGGAAAACAATAGAACAAAGCTAGATAAGTTGCATTGTGAGAACATGCAATGTGAGGATCTGGCATATGTAGAGGCTGATAATATATTCCAAGATAATGCTGAATTCAATGAATTGTGTGGTGTGGGGTGTAATGACGTACCAGCTATCAGTGTGCAGTTTGATGAACCCAACTCTGACAAACCAAATTCTCTTGAGTATTCAAGAATGAAAATACTTCAAAAGGGGTTCTGTGATTTTCAAGGTGAGGCAGCCAAAATGGATTCACATGTGATAGAATGGGCTGATAAGTTGGTGCAAGAAAACAACACAAAAATGTTATCATTGCAGGTAATTTTGTTTTTGTTTTTAGAATTGAAAAAACAGATTGGACCATTTGATAAGTTAAATGATTGGTACCCGTGCAAGGAAAGTTTAGCAAGGGCTTCTTTTCCTCTCGCAGGATATGGTGGCTGAGATTGCTATGAAATGGACCAAAGTTCTGAGAACTGGAGCTCTTGGGTAAGATTCATGGGTGTTGATCTAAACACAATCATGTTCAACATGGAACAAGGCCAAGACATGACAGAGGTATGCTTCTTTCCCCCCACACTAGGTCTTTTGTCCTCCGGATCTAAGAGAATGAGGTTCCCTTGTGTCCTGCTGGAGAAATTGCTCCTTGATTGTAGATGTCTTTCATTTCTTAAGAATGTTTTTTCACAACAAATAGAAAAATCTGAATTGATGAGCTTATTATTGCAGATCATGAATTTCTTTGATTGGATAATGACCTGATTATTGTAGATCACGAGCTTCTGCGTTTCTTATACTGTTTTATCCCTTTCTTTATCTCGATTCTCCAGTTGAAGGAGTTTGTGTTGAACCGACCAGAGGCCTATGAAATAAAGATCGGCGATCAAGTTTTTCGAAGACCTGGAGATCCTCCATTGGAGGAAGTTGTGGAGAAGCTCCAGAATGAGAAAAAGAGAGTGGAGAATGAGAGTCCGGCAGAGAGCAATACGCATTTGAAAGAGGAATTGTAGTAAGTTTTCTGACATGCAATATAATGACCCCATTTCCTGTGTTTTATTTATTTCTTCGTTTTCACTTAATCAATAATACGACCCCGTTCAATATGTCGTTTTCTACCTACACCTTTAACGATGGATTTTTACTAATCATTTATTTACTCAGTCCCTTTTTCCAAACATTAAAAATATTTAAAACGATTACATTTGGGTAAAGCACATCATATTTTACAATTTTATTATAAAATTACTTTTAACCCTGTCCAAGTAGCGTGCGAGGATGAGACAGAATCATGATAGGTTTTTAAATAAGTTTAATTCTTATTAGCTTCGTGAATTTACAAGTTATACAAACTTCTCATTTTATTAGTGACTATTTATCGTTGCATCCGATATTAGAGTTGATATCTCGAGGGCATAAATGGAAACTACTCAATTTATATTAAATTAGACTTGTTTTTTCTAATTCCACTAAAAGAAAGATGTGCAAGTCATTTTTTTCGATATAACATGTAATGCATGTAAAAAATGCCAGGAATGTAGATTGGTGTTGCAATCAATGCAGCATCGAGCCCAATCCAAGTTGCAAAGTTTTAAGCCCCACATTTTCCAACATAGGGGAACTCCACACACTGTGCTCAATTTTTTTCATAAACATGGTGGGTTGGATCAAAGTTCAATTCTGTTTGCTTTAATTTCGTCAGTTCTTTTTTAAAATACAATCAACCGTCTAAATTATTACCAAAAAATGGAGGTTTCTCATACACATTATCAAGGTGTCATAGAGGTTCGAACATGAAATCACTGGTGTGTAAATTAAGGGTCTTTTCCATTGAGCTTTACCTCGTTGGCATAATTTCATCAGTGTTTTATTATTAGCCCCTTTTTGGTGAAATATATTAGCCTTATTTTTATATAAAGCCAATAAGATAAAAATAACCATTATACCAATCATTATTGTACAACATAATATGTCTAGTAACGAGTTTGCATGGTACGTATGGATTTCGAGTGATTGTCTCTCTTGCCCCACATGAGAGAGTGAGTTGAGAGAGCCCTTTCTTTTTATTTTTATTTTTTTGGATTTCTTAATTAAGAACAATTATACATCCCTAAAATAAAAGACATTCCTATATTTTGTAACAAATAGGCTTGGACCAGATGGCCAGTGGTCCAAGGATCTTGTTGAGAACAATTGGGCCTCATTTCCAAATTTGTTAGGCCATCTCCAATAGTTGGGGCTTTAAAAGAGGTTGGTAGAGCTTCGTTTAGGGCTCCGATGGAATCTTTGAGGCTCTAAAGAAATTATTCTCACAACATAAGGGCTCCATATCTAGCTCTATATTCAATATAATATTATATACATGTTATTTTTAAAATAAAAACATTTATTTGCTTTAATGTATATTATAGCATGTTAGTTTTTTTTGGTGAACATCTAAAAAAAATCCAAAATCAAAATCAAAATTTGGACAAGATTTGAAAATATTTTCTATGAAAAAACAACTTGATTGTTGCCTTGAAAAAAAAAAAAAGCCTCATCCGTCAAAAACACACAAAAACAAACCCATCTAGCCCATCCCCTCTCATTGGTCACATCAAATAAAATATAAAGCAAATAGAAGCAATCATTGGTCAAGAAGAGAGTATCATGAGCTGCAGTTACAAGGCAGGTCACCAACAACACATATGGGTTGGTAGCTTTTTCTTCATGTGGGCCCCATTCGGTTTCGAGGGCTTCAACCATGAACATAAATCTGGGTATAGCTCCAGTAGGGCTCAATCATTTAAGGCCTCAAAACTGAACCACTGGGGATGACTTTTTTGCTTCAGTTGCTATATATTATAGCCCAAGGGTGGTGCAGCCCACTTTAGAGGCCCCATTGGGATGGCCTAACACTTTCCAAACCCCTTCCCAAATCTTCACTTCACACTAAGCATGCCAAACCCATCTTTCCCTTCGTCATTCTCTTCTTCTTCATTATACCCCTCATCTTTTCCCAAAATGGCGAGCATGTCCGGTTCGCGGAGGCAGGAAAGCAGTGAGTCCACATCACTGACGACTTGGACGACGTCGTAGACAATGAAGAGGATGATACTTGGAAAGAATGGGGCAAGAAATCCACACCCTTTTCCTAGTTTTGCAAATTGTAGGCTACCCAAAATGCACTATCAGATCACTTTTTGTAGATTGGGAACCATGCATTGAGCACTTATTATAAACTTATATCTTTATTTTTGTTGTTCTTGTTGTAGTCTCTTGTTTTAGATGTTAAATATGAGCTTAAGTGGATGTAATGGCTTTATAGGTAATAGAAATGACTTTTGATGGTTTGCTATGTAATTGATTGAGGCTTTCAACTTGGCTTCAAATGAATGGCAAATTTAGTAAGGGCTTCTTTTCCCCTCGTAGGATACGGTGGCTGAAATTGCTATGAAATGGACCAAAGTTCTGAGAACTGGAGCTCTTGGGGTAAGATTCATGGGTGTTGATCTAAACACAATCATGTTCAACATGGAACAAGGCCAAGACATGACAGAGGTATGCTTCTTTCCCCCCACACTGGGTCTTTTGTCCTCCAGATCAAAGAGAATGAGGTTCCCTTGTGTCCTGCTGGAGAAGTTGCTCCTTGATTATAGATGTCTTTCATTTCTTAAGAATTTTTTTTCACAAGAAATAGAAAAATATGAAGTCTTGGGCATGGCTTACCTATTCCATAAGAGAGGTGTTGCATGCCATTTAAACCTCATGTCTTGCTTAGCATACTTTTTTGAATTGATGAGCTTATTATTGCAGATCATGAATTTCTTTGATTGGATGATGACCTGATTATTGTAGATCACGAGCTTCTACATTCATTTGTTCTTATACTGTTTTATCCCTTTCTTTATCTCGATTCTCCAGTTCAAGGAGTTTGTGTTGAACCGACTAGAAGCCTATGAAATGAAGATCGTTGATCAAGTTTTTCGAACACCTGGAGATCCTCCGTTGGAGGAAGTTGTGGAGAAGCTCCAGAATGAGAAAAAGAGAATGGAGAATGAGAGTCCAGCAGAGAGCAATAGGCATTTGAAAGAGGAATTGTAGTTATGCCGGTAAGTTTTCTGACATGTGAAAAGTTGTTATTTACTATTTGTTAAAGTTGTTTAGTTTTAGTTGAAATAAACCTTGTTATAAGGAAGTAGATAAGGTTTGAATTTTTCTTTAGGAGGATCCCTTTACTTCAGGGACTGTTAGTCATGGGGACGTGTTCCTCTGCTTTCTGTTTTGTAAAGGCTATTTAAAAGCCACTTTCCATTCAATAAATGAATTGCATTCTCTCAATTAAAAGCTAGATATTGACAATTGGTATCAGAGCTCCAAATTGGGGCCTGAAGAGCAAAGAAAAGCAGCAACTCTTGCCGTAGCAAGTATCAATGTCGACTGAAGGAAGCAGCTTTGTTCAACCATCAATCCCACGCTTCGATGGTCACTATGATCATTGGAGCATGTTAATGGAGAATTTTTTGAGATCTGAAGAATACTGGAGTCTCGTGGAGAATGGAATCACAACATATGCAGAAGGAACGGTGTTGACAGAAGCTCAACTCAAAAGCTTAGAGGATCAGAAGCTCAAAGACTTGAAGGCCAAGAATTACTTGTTTCAAGCCATTGATCGAGCTATTTTGGAGACAATTCTGAAGAAGGATACGGCAAAGGATATCTGGGATTCCTTGAAGAAAAAGTATCAAGGCACGGCTAGAGTCAAACGTGCACAACTGCAAGCTCTTCACAAAGAGTTTGAGATGTTGCAAATGAAGAATAGAGAAACAGTCACTGACTATTTTGCTCGAACATTGACTGTTGCAAACAAAATGAGGATACATGGAGATAGAATGGAAGATGTCACCGTGATTGAGAAGATTCTCAGGTCTATGACACCTAAGTACAACTATGTTGTATGTTAAATTGAAGAGTCAAAGGATATTGATGCCCTTTCAATTGATGAACTGCAAAGTAGTTTGCTAGTACATGAACAAAGGATGACCTGTCATGAAATGGAAGAGCAAGCTCTAAAGGTTAGTCAAGAGACTTATTCACCAGGAAGAGGAAGAGGTCGAGGCAGTTTCAGAGGTTGTGGAAGAGGGAGAGGTCGACAAGTTTCATTTGACAAATTAACCGTGGAGTGCTACTACTGTCATGAACTTGAAAATTTTCAGTATGAATGCCCTCAAAAGGAGAAGGAGTACAAGGCTAATATGGCTAAGACTAAGGAAGAAATGTTGCTGATGGCATATGTTGAAGACGAAGGTGATCAAATGAGCAGCACCTGGTACTTGGACTCTGGATGCAGCAATCACATGTGTGGGAGTAAGAAGTTGTTTTCGAATATGGATGAATCTTTCAGAGATAATGTGAAGCTTGGAAACAACTTTAGTCTTCGTGTCATGGGAAAAGGCAACATAAGGATTGAAGTCAATGGAGTGAAGTACTGTATAACTGAGGTATTTTATGTTCCGGAGTTAAAAAGCAATCTAATCAGTCTTGGTCAGTTGCAAGAAAAAGGAATTGTCATTTTGATTCAAAAGAACTCTTGTCAGATTCATCATCCTAACAAGGGTTTGATCATTCAAGCTGATATGACTTCCAACCGCATGTTTTTACTCAAAACTGAATCAGCAGCTGAGAAGCAAATGTGTTTCAAATCCACAATATAAGAGGACACGTGGTTATGGCACTTCATATTTGGACATCTAAATTTCAATGGTCTCAAAGTACTCCAACAAAAAAATATGGTGAAAGGTCTTCCTCCGCTGCAAGTTCCTTCAAGAGTTTGTGAAGAATGAATGGTGGGAAAGCAACATCGTGAGCCATTTCCTAAGGAGAGCAATTGGAGAGCCACACAAATACTTGAATTGGTGCATTCGGACATATGTGGACCTGTCAACCAATCTCCAACAGCAACAAAAGGTATTTCATAACCTTTACTGATGATTTTAGTAGGAAAACATGGATATATTTCCTTAGTTAGAAGTCTGAAGCTCTAGTAGTTTTCAAGAAATTTAAAGCCTCTGTTGAAAAAGAAACTGGTGTGTTTATTAGAGCTCTTCGAACTGATAAAGGTGGAGAATTTACTTCCAATGATTTTGTTCATTTCTGTGAGAAGAATGGTATACACATGCAATTAACTGCAGCTTACTTACCACAACAAAACGGTGTAGCCGAGAGGAAAAATCGTACCATTATGAACATGGTAAGGAGCATGCTAGCAAGAATGAAGGTGCCAAAGAAATATTGGCCCGAAGCTGTGAATTGGAGCTCACACATCCTAAACAGATGTCCTACTCATGCTGTGAAGAGTGTAACACCAGAGGAGGCATGGAGTGGCAAAAAACCTCAAGTGAATTACTTTAAGGTTTTTGGTTGTCTGGCTTATGTTCACACTCCAGACAATCTAATAACCAAGCTTGATGATAAGAGCACAAAATATGTGATGCTCGGAGTCAGTGAAGAGTCAAAGGCCTACAAACTGTACAATCTAGAGACTCAAAAGATCATAATCAGTAGAGATGTGGTATTTGATGAAGCTAATGATTGGGACTGGAACAATAAACAAGAAAAGAGAGCTGGTGTTGATCTTGAAGAAATTGAAACAATGAATGGTGTTGAAGAAGTCACATCTAGAGAAGTAGAAGATGAACCTGTTGGACACAATTCACCAAGAATTACTGAAGCTTCACCAAATGTAACAAGGCAGAGAAGACCCCCTGGTTGGATGACAGATTATGTGAGTGGTAATGAGCTCTCAGATAATGAGAACATTGCTCAAATTGCTTTGACTGGTGGGAATGATCCTACTACTTTTGATGATGATGTGAAGAGTTCAAAGTGGAGAAAATCCATGGACTTGGAGATACAAGCTATTGAAAGGAATGATACGTGGGAGTTGATTGACTTGCCTGAAGGAGAAAGAACAGTGGGAGTGAAGTGGATATTCAAGACCAAATTCAAAGAAAATGGAGAGATTGACAAGTACAAGGCTAGGTTAGTAGCTAAAGGTTATACTCAAGAATATGGTATTGATTATTCAAAAGTATTTGCCCCTATGGTTCATCATGATACCATACGCTTGGTTATATCCTTACCTGCACAAAATGATTGGTCAATCTATCAACTTAATGTGTAGTCTGCATTTTTATATGGAGAACTCAATGAAAGAGTGTTCGTCGATCAACCTCATGGATATGTGCAAAGAGGGAAAGAACAGAAGGTCTATAGATTAAAAAGGGCTTTATAAGGACTAAAGCAGGCTCCAAGAGCTTGGTATAGTAGTATAGAGTCATACTTCTTGAAAGCTGGATTCACCAAGTGCCCATACAAGCACACTTTGCTTGTCAAGCATGGTAAAGAATGTGAGATTCTTATTGTATGCCTTTATGTGGATGATCTAATTTTCACAGGAAATAATGAAGACATGTTCAAAGAATTCAAGAAGTCCATGATGGAAGAATTGAGATGACAGACTTGGGAAAAATGCATTATTTTCTTGGAATTGAAGTGAAGCAAACAAGCAATGGGGTCTTTATTGGACAGAAGAAATATGCTGAGGAAATTCTCAAAAGATTTCACATGGAAGATTGCAATTATGTCCAAAATCCTATAGTTCCAGGAACAAAGCTTAACAAGGATGTGGGAGGAGAATTAGTCAATAGCACTCACTTCAAGCAGATAGTGGGAAGCCTAATGTACTTAATTGCTACCAGACCTGATCCGATGTTTGTTGTGAGCCTTATTAGCAGGTACATGGAATCACCTATTGAACTTCATTATGAAACAGCTAAGAGAGTGCTTCGCTATTTGAAAGGAACAACAGACCTTGGTCTATTCTACAAGAAGGAAACTAGAAACAAAAAGGAAGCTGGGAGTGAGCTAATGGGATTCAGCGACAGTGACTATGCAGGTGATCTTGATGATAGGAAAAGTACATCTGGATATGTATTCATGCTAAGTTCAGCATCTGTCTCTTGGTCATTTTAAAAACAATTAGTTGTCACTTTCTCTACAACAGAAGTTGAATTCATAGCTGCAACGTCAAGTGCCTGTCAAGCTGTTTGGCTAAGAAGGTTGCTAGAAGAACTGTGCTTTAAACCAGATAAACCTACTGTGATTTTCTGTGACAATAGCTCTGCTATTAAGCTATCCAGAAATCCAATAATGCATGGGAGGAGCAAGCACATTAATGTCAGATTCCATTTCCTTCGAGATTTTGTCAAAAATGAAGTAATTGAGTTGGAGCATTGTCCAGGCAATATGCAGGTTGCTGATATCCTAACTAAGCCATTAAAGTTGGAGGCATTCGTAAAGATGCGGAAATTGCTGGGGATCTGTTCAAGTTTGTCTTTAAATTGAAAGCTTTATTGCCTTTTAATTTACGGGAGGGTGAAAAGTTGTTATTTACTATTTGTTAAAGTTGTTTAGTTTTAGTTGAAATAAACCTTGTTATAAGGAAGTAGATAAGGTTTGAATTTTTCTTTAGGAGGATCCCTTTACTTCAGGGACTGTTAGTCATGGGATTAGTCATGGGGTCGTGTTCCTCTACTTTCTGTTTTGTAAAGGCTATTTAAAAGCCACTTTCCATTCAATAAATGAATCGCATTCTCTCAATTAAAAGCTAGATATTGACAAGATGCAATATAATTTCCCCATCTCTAACTCCATAGCAACATCCACTCTGAATATTCATGCATTACTATTCAAGTGGATTTTAGGCTGCTGATAACGCCGACATGATTAGTTATCGCAATTCTGTATTTATTTATTTTAAGGGTTAATGACTTAATGGTCCTCCAACTATTGCTCCAGTATCATTTTGGTCCACCAACTAAAATTTTCAATTCAAACGCCCTTAAACTTTTTATTTTGTACCAAGATGGTCCATCCGTGATGGATTCCATCACTTCTGATCATGCGATGGCCACGTGACTGAGTTTTGAAGGGTATGGCTGAAATGGTCCCTCAACTATTGCTCTAGTATCATTTTGGTCCACCCAACTAAAATTGTCATTTGAACAGTCCTTCTTTTTTTTTTTTTTTTTTTTTTTTTTTTTTTAAGTATGGTCCAATCGTCAAAGTCCGTCAATTTTATTGTTATTTATTTTGTATTTGTCTTATTTTAAAAATTTTAATTATTTTAAACAATAGAGAAAAAAAATTATTTTTTAAGTCCATGCCACCAAAAAGAAGCCATGTTGGTGGTGAGATTCAATTTTTTCAATTTTAAAATTAGGTACAAGTTCCTATAATAGTTTCCTTTAATTTTTAATTATTGTTTACTCTTTTAAAAAATTTGTTATTTTTTTAAATATATATTTATGTGATTTTAAACAAATTTAAACAAAAGAGAATTTTTATTATTAATGTTAGGTCAGTCTCACGAAAAAAAATACAAATTTATAAATAAACCCAATCCTAGACATGTATTTATAAAAAACCCAAGCACTATTTAAACATAGAAACACACCCAAAATCAACCTCAAAATTAACAATTGTATATTTTTTAGGTGTGTTTATAAATGGGTTTTGAGTGTGCAATGATGGGTTTTGGGTGTGTTTATAAAGTGTTTTGGGTGTTGAGTTTTTTATAATTTCAGTCTCCATTTTGGGTGTTCTAGTGAAACTCCCAAAAAAAAAAGCCTTGTGGCTAGTGAATTTCAATTTTTTAAAATTTCCTAAGTTTTATAATAGTTTCCTTTAATTTTTAATTATATATTACTATTTTAATTTATAGAGACATTTTTACTCCTCAATTTAACAATAAAATTGATAGACTTTAACAGTAGGACCATCTTGATACAAAAAAAAAAAAAAAAAAAAACAAAAAAAAGATGAATGACCGTTCAAATGAAAATTTTAGTTGGTGGACCAAAATGATACTGGAGCAATAGTTGGGGGACTATTGGGATCAATAACCCTTTTAGAAGAGGATATTCATCTAAAAAATACGGTTTTGTCCCTCGATTTCACGGAATAATACACAGACTTTGACAGATGGACCATCTTGGTACAAAATAAAAAGTTTAAGGACGTTTGAATTGAAAATTTTAGTTGGTAGACCAAAATGATACTGGAGCAATAGTTGGAAGACCATTTAGGTCATTAACCCTTATTTTAATGGAACCAGTGCATAAAAACTGCTCAAGAGTAGGCAGGCCATCTATTCACCACACCTCTTGAACCACTTTGGAACTTCATTTGAAAATTTAATATCGAATGTAGAGCCCTGACAAAAAGAATTTCAGAGACTGAAGTTCGCTACAACATATAACAGAGATGCACAGCAAAATATTAATTGCTAAATTTGAATTTAACAAATAAAAGAAGAGAGTAGATAATATGACCAGAAAATATTAATGCAAATATATCATTCAACATTTAATGGATCAATTGACATACTTTTGGTCCTCGTCAATAGCAATATGTCTCTGCTTTGGCTGATTCATTGGTTCTGAAGATGATGAGCAAAGCCATTGCTCTTCTTTTGATCCACGAGGCCTCTTCTTCCCAACACTAGTCGTTGATTCATTCATCATCATTATATCATCATCGTCAACCTGTACCTGGTGGCCTAATAGGTGAACCCCGCAGCTTTTAACGCCTATCGGCCCTCCATCTGGGTCTGGCAAGTTAAATATAACTTGAAATCTATAAGTATTAGTATTACCCTGTTGCATTGCCGTCTTTCTTCCTTTCCCTTGCGGATTCAAATTGATAATGGAATACACTAGAGCCACATACAACACCTGAACCACTTTGGAACTATAGCCGTCCGGCTATACTTCGGTTACACTATTATATTCAAAACACTATGGCCGCACGGCTATACTTCAGTTTTTTTAAAAGTTATTTTCTAAATTTTTCTAATAAATAGTATAGCCGATCGGCTATATTTGGGAGTTTTTTTAATAACTTTTTTAATAAATAGTATAGCCGGTCGGCTATACTTGGAGTTTTTTCTAACCTTTATTAAACTCTTTTTTCTAACTTTTTAATAACTTTTTTTATTTCATAGGCCTTGGGTTAGTAAGGGCTTCTTTTCCCCGAGCAGGATACGGTAGCTGAGATTGCAATGAAATGGACTAAAGTTCTGAGAACTGGCGCTCTTGGGGTGAGATTCATGGCTATTGATCTAAACACATCATGTTCAACATGGAACGAGGCCAAGACACGACAAGGCATGTTTCTTTCACCCCCACTTTGTGTCTTTTAGCCTCCAGATCAAAGAGAATGAGATTCCTTTGTGTCTTGTTGGAGAAATTGCGCAAGATACATTTACATTCTCAATTATTTTTATAATTCTATTACAATTTACATTCATGTTTTTTTGAAGCAAGTTTGTCCTTCTAATCCCTATAAAATGGCAGGACACGAACACCTTATAGCTTACCCGTTCTAATTTTCACAAATTGTAAAATCCTTCATCTCTGCTTCATTTCTTAATTCAAGATGTGTTGATTCTACTGAGTTGTTTCATCCAATCCAATCCTAGACACTGAACGTGACCTATCAATATATGACGTATATGTGTTTGCATGTTCATGCGCTTAAATATGGGAACATAACAAATTTTCAATTGGGGGAGCCACCTAGCTATTCTCTGCATATTGACGTAAAAGAGGCAACATTATCATCTCTTAAAGGAATTTTCATCTCAAATTCAGGGGTTCACACTGGAAAGGTAATTTACTTCTAGAAAACGGTGGCAATTTCAAGGGTTCACACTGTAGTTCACTAGGAGGAATTTACTTTTGCCTTTTGAAATACCGAACTTGCAATTTCCAGGGTTCACACTGTACCACCTAATTATTTAAAATTAAAAACATAGTATTCTTGCACGTCTCCCTCCCCCTTTCTACTGTATCGATCTCTGTGTCTCCCTCCATCTTCTCCCCTCCTCTTTCTTCTTTGTCTCCTCTCTCGCTCAGCTCTCACCCCACCCACACCACTAGCCGACCAAGCTAACCCCATCACAACGTCTTCGTTGCTTTCCACAATCATATTCCTTTAGATATATCCCGTTATGATTTTCCGCGATCATATTCCTTTAGATATAATCCATGTTCTTTTTTTCTTGGTTCACTTTCTAAACTTTTATCCTTGTCAGTTCCTCTGGTTTGGTTTCTTTAAACTTGTCGAGAAATCGATTAACAAGTCAAATACCTCCAAGGATTGGAAATTTGCAGGAGTTAGATTCTTTTGATTTATCAAGAAACTAGATAAATGGCATAATTCCAATAAGTATTTCTCGGATAAATCGTATTGGTTACTTGGACTTGTCATAAAACAACTTGTCTGGAAAAATTCCAGAAGGCACCCAGCTACAAACCTTTGACTCTGCTTATGGTGTAAATCCTCTTCTTTGAGGAAAAAGGTCCAAAACAATTTGTGTTGGTGAATGAAGACGACAAAGATGGGCTCATAACACAAGGATTTTACATCAGCATGGGGCTTGGGTTTGCTGTTGGATTTTGGGGAGTTTGCGGCTCTCTTCTGCTCAACAGGTCATGCAGATATACGTACTTCAATTCTTGACCTTTCTGAACGATTGGCTGTACGTGAAGGTAGAAATCATCAAGCAAAGGATCCTTAATAAATAAAGGTAATTACTACTATCTTTCTTACATACTAGTTATGAAATTAAATTATGCAAGTTAGTTGTTCTTAACCCCGAATATACATGCAAATATTACATAACATAAGAAATGAAAACTAAAAACTAAAATTGAAATGATTATCAAACGGGCCCTTAGTTTATGTGATTTATCTTTTTCAATCTTATGGGTTGTTTAACATTTGTCTTTAACGCAGGCACCTTTGAGACAACATGCTTCCCTTCAGTTGAAGATGGATGCGATGAAGGACTCCTATTTGTACTAGTTTTCGAGTATTTGAGTGATGATAAGGGATCTCACTGAAATAAAGGAACCATTTTAGTAGATTAGTTGTGTTGTTATTTGTAAGAACTTAATGGGAACTTCTCCCATGAACTATTTGGTATGATGTTCTTGTGTACCTCATGGTGTATGTTTTTTTCTTTTGCAATGTAGGAAATGTAGACGCAGAATTGCCTTTTACTGTATTGTTGTTATGAATAAAACATTAGAATTTGAGTTAACATATGTCATTATCTTTCGTCTGTGTAAGAAAGAAAATACTTGTCTTAAAACAAAGAAAAGAGAAATTGATGATACACTGGGCCTGCTCAAGTTTGCTGTATTCTACATTGGGCTATAAAGTATCTCAGTCTCATAAACACAAGGAAATAGCAATAGAAATGAAGAAGGTAAAAACAGAGCAAAAACAAGGGAGAGGATATTGCTCTCGGCACTAGCTTTTCTATTTATACAAAAAGACATGTACATATTAATAACAACTCTAGGACATTAATTTGAACAACTTGTGCACTAATTCATCAAAAGTCATGAAATGTAAAAAAGAAAAGGAAATTACGCTTCTTTAGAATCAAGGTTTCATAATGGAGCCAATTGCAAGAGACGACGCTTATTAAGTAGGAAGTAAATTTTTATGGATTGGCTATGAGATGTGCTTTATGACATATGAAAATTGCAGAAGTGAAGCTTCAAAAGGAACTATACAAACAGATGACAGCAGAAACAGTTTCCCTGGAAAAAGATGTAAAGAATGTACCACAATTTGCACTGGTGGGTGCTTTGAATTTAGATTTGGACTGATGGTGACGATGACCACCATAGACATTAATAGTACAAGTACTAATCTTTTTATAGGCCAGTTAGGTTCTATGAGCTAGGCGGGTCCCCCACCTTTAAAAAAAGTAAATAGTGTAGCCGAGCGGCTATACTTCGGGCTTTTTGAAGTCTTTTAATAAATAGTATAGCCGTAGGGCTATACTTGAGTATTTTCTAGATTTTTCTAATAATAGTATAGCCGCTCGACCATACTTGGGGTTAGTAAGGGCTTCTTTTCCCCTCGCAAGATACGGTAGCTGAGATTGCAATGAAATGGACTAAAGTTCTGAGAACTGGCGCTCTTGGGGTGAGATTCATGGGTGTTGATCTAAACACAATCATGTTCAACATGGACGAGGCCAAGACACGACAGAGGCATGTTTCTTTCACCCCCACTTTGTGTCTTTTAGCCTCCAGATCAAAGAGAATGAGATTCCTTTGTGTCTTGCTGGAGAAATTGCGCAAGATACTTTTACATTCTCAATTATTTTTATAATTCTATTACAATTTACATTCAATATTTTCAGGAAGCAAGTTTGTCCTTCTAATCCTATAAAATGGCAGGACATGAACACCTTATAGCTTACCTGTTCTAATCCGCACAAATTGTAAAAATCCTTCATCTCTACTTCATTTCTTAATTCAAGATGTGTTGATTCTACCAGTTGTTTCATCCAATCCAATCCTAGACACTGAACGTGACCTATCAATATATGATGTATATGTGTTTGCATGTTCATGCGCATAATATGGGAACATAACAAATTTTCAATTGGGGGAGCCACCTAGCTATTCTCTGCATATTGACGTAAAAGAGGCAACATTATCATCTCTTAAAGGGAATTTTGATCTCAAATTCATTCACACTGGAAAGGTAATTTACTTCTGGAAAACGGTGGCAATTTCAAGGGTTCACACTGTAGTTCACTAGGAGGAATTTACTTTTTGCCTTTTGAAATACCGAACTTGCAATTTCCCAGGGTTCACACTGTACCACCTAATTATTTAAATTAAAAACATATTATTCCCCTCCTCTTTCTTCTTTGTCTCCCCTCTCTCTCCTCTCAGCTCTCTCACTCACTCTCACCCCCACCCACACAGGGTACGAATGCAGCTATGGGCTGCAGCCCAGCCAAAAAATTTTGATTTTTAAATGTGATATAGTCTTAGCCCAAAAAAATATATATTTATAGCTAAATTGAAGGAATAGCTGAAATTTTTTTTTTCCTTACTTTTGTTGGAAAAAAACTATGGTGCATTTTCGCTCACCACTTTAACTCAAAGTGTACTCTCACTATCATTATCAACATTTGACACGTATCTATTGACATAACCATGGTTGCATAAATACAAAGTAAAGAGTTAACTATGGTTATGCCAATGACACGTCTCTAGTGTTGAGAAGGGTAGCGAGGCTACACCTTGGATTAAAGTGGTGAGCAAAAATATATCCAAAAAATTATGGGATTGCATGTTTATTTAGTGATTTCAACTCTTTGAAGCCTAGAAGGGTGCAACTCAAATAGTTGTATTATGTATTTGCGTTGCATGTTTATTTGTATTGTCTTTTTTTACTAGTTTATATCTTATGTACTAGATGCATTTTGAGGGTACTGCTCATATATTCCCACTGATTAGGTGTATAATTTTGTTATCAATAAAATTCACTCGTACCCTCAAGTTTGTTTATAAGGGAAATCCAGCCCAGTGTATTTCGAAATCCCGGATTCGTCCCTGCCCACACCACTAGCCGACAAAGCTAACCCCCATCATAACGTCTTCGTTGCTTTCCGCGATCATATTCCTTTAGATATAATCCCGTTACGATTTTCTGCGATCATATTCCTTTAGATATAATCCATGTTTTTTTTTCTTGGTTCTCTTTCTAAACTTTTATCCTTGTCAGTTCCTCTCGTCCCTTTTTTTTTTTTTTATCATATTCTCATTCTTCTGCTATTTTTCATTGTGTAGAAGTATTTTATCTTTGAGGTCGATGGAGACGACCATGAGGAGGGTGAGGAGAAGGCAGGGGAAGTCGAAATCTTAATGAAAACAAAGATACCTTGACCATTAGTAGGAATTGTATCTCAGCATCAGAAGTCAAAGAAGTTGGGTTATTCGACATGATGAACGATTTTGTGCTAACAGCAGGGAGGGGTAGAAGCATCGTCATTGATGGGGAATAGAATTCAATCAGGCAAAAGCTGGTCTGTTGGGATTGGCAATTTGTGCAACAAGTACTGCAACTTGTGGGTCGTAGTAATATATTTCTTCTTCTTCTTCTTCTTCTTGCACTTATTCCGTTGGGATTGTGGATAAAATGGGCAACAAGTCCTACAACGTTGTTAACTTAAGGGTACGTATTATTTCATCTTCTTATTCTTTATGCAGCTTTTCTTTTCTTTTTTCCAACTTAGAACAAGTTTTAAAAACTCCGTATCTTTTATACTTATATCTCTAAAGAAAATGGACATATCATTTATACTATGGTAGTATGATCATGTGGTACATCTTGACCAATTGGAAATGCAAGAAAATATCAACAACAAAAAGTGACATTAATTGAATAAAACGGTAATTTTTTTATTTTTTTTACCTCGTCGCCAAGATTTTGACCGCGCTTAGAACGTTTGTCCATGACCCTCCGGCTTCGATGGAAGAGGCCATTTGTATTTTTACATAAATGGAATTTTGTAGTAGAAAATTTGGTGTGAAAAGTTAAAATATTGGAAGGAGACAATCTTTGTTGTGGCAAGTGAATAGGATTGGTATGAAGATTTGTTATACCACACCAAATCTTCATATAAATTCCATATAAATTACCAGAGAGTGGTAATTTCTCAAATTAATGAAGTGGGCTCCATTAGAGTCTGGACCGTCCATTTTGGTAGAACGAAAGGTGAATCGAAACGGCGTCTTCAATCTCTCGTCTTCTCCCACAAAACCGAAGTCATACCCAAACAGGGCTCTCCTGCAGTGCCTGCACCGCTTCGTTGTCCACACGCATAGACTTAGACTTCTGATGATCTCCACGTGTATTCACAGCATCAAAATCATCGTCACCAAAACGCACCGTCGCGTTCAGCTTCGACCCTTCAGCCCAATTTTGTTATGCCACACCAAATCTTCATATAAATTCCATTTGGTGTGGCAAGTGAATCGATTTGGTATGAAGATTTTAGAAGATTCGATTCACAGGAGACAATCTTGAGGCAATTCATATGTCTCCTATGAAGATTTAATCGAATTGTCTCTCCTATGTGAATTGAATTTATATGAAGATTTGGTGTGGCCAGTGAATATTGGTAGGTATTTATAGAAAAAAAATTCTTTACAAATTTTTTGATATTTTTTCAATCTTTTTAGCCAAAAAATGGACAGCCATTGGATTTGAAGACATTTTTGGATCGGAGCCTCCAGAAGAAGCCACGTGGCTTGTAACTGTTGGTTTCTGGTAGCGCTGATGTCACGTTGACGTTTAGCACAAGCTTTTCAAAAAAAAAAATTTAATGTTGGCGTGTGAAATTTAAAAAATCTTGTGCTAACGTTAGGAGCCCGAAAGGCAAGGAAACAAGTGAATAAATTGGTAGGTTTTTCTAGAAAAAAAAATTTTATAATTTTTTTTGATATTTTTTCAATCTTTTTAGCCAAAAATGGGACCCGCCATTGGATTTGAAGACATTTTTGGATTGGAGCCTCTAGAAGAAGCCACGTGGCTTGTAACTGTTGGTTTCTGGTAGCGCTGATGTCACGTTGACGTTAGCACAAGCTTTTCAAAAAAAAAATTAATGTTGGCGTGTGAAATTTAAAAATCTTGTGCTAACGTTAGCAGCCCGACGGCAAGGAAACAAGTGAATAATTGGTAGGTATATAGAAAAAAAAATTCTTTACAAATTCTTTTGATATTTTTTCAATCTTTTAGCCAAAAAATGGACAGCCATTGAATTTGAAAGACATTTTTGGATCAGAGCTCCAGAAGAAGCCACGTGACTTGTAATTGTTGGTTTCTGGTAGCGCTGATGTCACGTTGACGTTAGCACAAGCTTTTCTATAAAAAAAAGTATGTTGGCGTGTGAAATTTAAAATCTTGTGCTAACGTTAGCCCCGAAGGCAAGGAAACAGCCAGATCTCCCCGTGGCTTGGGCAGCTCGTGGGTCCCACGCCTTGCCCTAGCGGATCTTGCGCGCTGGAGTCCTAATTTAATAAAAGATAATATTGGTTTATTTACTTATATCTTATTTGTTTTGTTCTCCAAGTTTCGCTTTATGTCCCCATCATGTATTGATTTGTTCATAAATAAATTACCATGTTTTCTCGAGGTTATAATAAAAAGATTTAGAAGATAACAAAATCAATTAATGGCAAAGATCAGTTTAGTGAATGATAAAATTAAGCTTTTTATCAGTTAATGGCAACAAAGATTTTTATTTTTTTTTTTTTGTTTTTTTTTCTAATGGCAAAAGATGATTTAGGCTTTTTATCTAAAACGTCTCTGATATTTACGAAACTATTAGATTGTGTCCTTAAAGTTTTTTGTATCACTCGTAGTCCCCAACTATCATATTAACCCCTACATGACTTCTATCAAAAATCACTTCTATGCATCAAAATCCTAGACCACTTCCATGAAAAGCCATAAATTGGTACTAATTTTTCTGCGGCAGAATTCAAAATATAAATGCTGGAAAAAGGTATGTTGGTGAATTGTGATAGAAAATATGACATGGAGCAGAGGATAATATAGTCCCATTTATGCCACGGTGTCAAATCAGAGTGGCATAGAGAGACAGAGAAGAGACGACGTGAATACATCATGAAGTGGACACACTTAATTCATAGATTTTGCAATCTTAATGGATACTTGCAGATTAGCTTTACTTATCAAAAAAGCGTAAAAAACATTTTAAGTACACTGCACAAAAAGAAGAGGCCAATAGTCACTCTTTTGTCACTAACTAATTGGTACGGGTGACATAATATTGTTTGGGGTGATTTATTGGCACCCCATTATTTGCTCTTTACACCCCCTACTAATTTAAAAATATAAATAACCTATTTACACCCTTGTACACAATTACCGTTAAGGACAAAAAATTTAAAATTAAAATTAAATTGCTCACTACACCCCACATATGTTCCTGCAACCCTAGTTTGAGTTTTTTCTCAAACTATCATGTTCCTAAACCCTAACCCTAGATTTATACGTTTATACTGGTGCAAAATATCTTGCATTTATTCATGAAGGGTGAGATTGAAGTTAGAGAGGCTTCAAATGAGGTACGAGTTTATTTTTGGCGTTTTTCAAGTTTAGTATTTCGTAACAGTCGCTGGTTGCGTTCAGTACATCATACCGAACGCGACAGGTAAATTCGGTGGGATGCCACCGAAACGTTGCACCATTTTCGGTAGGGTTCGACTAGTCAGCAACGTAATATTCGGTGGAGATCCACCGTAAGATGGAACGTAGTTTAGTGGTATACTGCGATGGGGTGTGTCTGCAAGAGGAGAGAATTTTTGATGGGGTGGGGCTGGATATCAGATAGGGTGGGGTTTGATTTCAGATGGGGTTGGCTGAAAGGGAAGGGGTTTTCGGTGGGTGGTTAGGGAATGGGGTTTATGAGGGCAATTTAGGAAAAAAAAAGGGGTTTAATGAGTAATTTGAAATTTTATTAAAATTTAGTGGGGTGTAAAAATTATGGGGTGTAAAGAGTAATTTATGGGTTCATATAGAATTTCCCTATTGTTTGTGATTACTCTCAAATTCAGGGGTTCACAAGTAATTTACTTCTGAAAGACGGTGGAAATTTCAGGGGTTCAGTTCACACTGTACTTCACTAGGAGGAAAGTAGGTTTCGCAAAGACTCACCCACGTGCTTTTGTATCATTACCCAGTGGCATTGATGTAATAGGGTGCATATTTAATGCTGACATACAAGACTCATTGTGTATGTATGTGGACCGATTTTTCCACTTTTTTAGACCTGCCGATTTGTCAATGCCCCTGATAATAGCTATTCAGAAATTCAAAATGCTAAATATTCCTGAAAATTTGAGTGATTAACTGTGTATTGGCCCCATGCATGTCCTTTCAAGGTGGACCCAAGATGAGACTCAGAGGACATGCATTTCCTTTCGGCACCAAGCTTTTCTCTGCATATTGACGTAAAAGAGGCAATATCATCATCTCTTAAAGGAATTTTCATCTCAAATTCCTGAAAAGGTACTTTACTTCTGAAAGACGGTGGAAATTTCAGGGGTTCACACTACTGGGAGGAAAGTAAGTTTGGCAAAGACTGACCCATGTTTGGTGCAGTAGAAAGTCTCCCTTCGTGAGGCTATGGTAACGATTATAAATACACAATTAATGCTTGTATCTTGAGATATCAGACAAGCATATATACTTCACCAGTTTTATCTTTGTCTCAATACTTGTGCTTCTTCGTCTTCATCATGACTCTAACTACCATGGTTGGAGTAAGGTGCTGCTTCAAACTCCTCTGTGCAATTGTGGTGCTCATTTTACTACACATGAACAATCCTTGCATTGGATGCAGCGAGAGGGAAAGGCAGGCACTCCTTGCACTTAAACAAGGTCTCGTGTTCGTGGATGACTACGGCTTCCTCAGCAATCCCTTCCTTTCCTGGGGAAGAGAAGCCCAAAACAAAGATTGCTGCGAATGGGATGGAGTCCACTGCAGCAACCAAACTGGCCATGTTGTTCAGCTTGAACTCCATGGTTTGTGCAAGGTAAGATTAGTCCTAAACTCATTGAGTTGCAGCATTTGGAATATTTGGACCTTAGTTCAATAATTTCAGTCGGAGCCAAATTCCAGATTTCATTGGATCTCTGAGCAATTTAAGACACCTCGATCTCTCTCAAGCAAATTTTGGAGGTTTAATTCCATATCAACTTGGAAACCTTACAAACTTGGAACATCTCGATCTTAAGATATTCTGTCTCTCTTTATGCAAAAAATGTCTATTGGCTTCCTAATCTTTCTCGTCTAAAATACTTGGACCTAAGTTTCGTTAATCTCAGTGATGTTGTTGGTTGGCTGGAAGCAGTTAATATGCTTCCTAAACTAACAAACTTGACATTACAGAGTGTAATCTTCCTCCTCCAGTTATATCCTCTGTTTCTCTCTTGAATTCTTCTAAATCTCTTGTTCATGTCGATCTCTACAACAACAGTCTTGACTCATCCATCTTCCCAATTGTTGCCCGGTACTCATACCCAACCTTGTTTATCTTGATCTCTCGGAAATAAATTGAGTGGAAGAATACCTGAAAGTATTGGACAGATGTCCAATCTTGTTCATCTTGATCTCTCGAAAAATAAATTGAGTGGAAGAATACCTGAAACTCATTTCTCGAAACTCTCCAAATTAGGTTTTGGATTTATCCTCTAACTCACTAGTTTTAAACTTCAGTTTGATTGGGTTCCTCCCTTTCAATTGGATGAGATAAGATTGGGGTCTTGTAAGATGGGGCCGTATTTCCCGGAATGGCTTCGAACTCAGAAAAGTTATGACGGCTGGATATTTCTGATGCTGGAATTTCTGATACCATTCCAACTTGGTTTTGGGATTTGCAAAAATGGTATAAGGATTTGTCTCGCAATCAAATTAGAGGAAATTTGAGATCAGAGTTAACATGTATTTTTAAATGTGAGTTGGAACCAATTGGAGGGTCCAATCCCTTCAATCCTATCAAACGTGTCAAGTCTAGATCTGTCCAATAATAAATTTTCAGGGTTAGCTTCATTATTGTGCACAAGTACAACCGAGAAGAGTAATTTAGAATATCTTGATCTCTCAAGCAACCATGTGTCCGGAGATCTTCCAGACTGCTGGATCCATTTTCAACAATTAGTCTTTCTTGATTTGAGCAACAACTCTTTATCTGGGAAAATTCCTACCACGATGGGATACTTGTTTAGTATCGAGACACTAAAACTAAATAATAACAGATTTGTCGGAGAGTTGCCTTCACAATTGAAGAATTGCACAATGTTGACACTTGTTGATGTTGGGGAAAATAAATTGTCAGGATTAATACCTGAATGGCTAGGGGAAAATCTTCTAAATTTGGCTATCATTATCCTTCGATCTAATCAGTTTTATAGGAGCATCCCGCCACAGTTATGCCATCTTACACACCTTCAAATTTTGGATTTGTTTTTTTTTTTTTTTTTTTTTTTTTTTTTTTTTTTTTTTTTTTTTTTTTTTTTTTTTTTTTTTTTTTTTTTTTTTTTTTTTTTTTTTTTTTTTTTTTTTTTTTTTTTTTTTTTTTTTTTTTTTTTTTTTTTTTTTTTTTTTTTTTTTTTTTTTTTTTTTTTTTTTTTTTTTTTTTTTTTTTTTTTTTTTTTTTTTTTTTTTTTTTTTTTTTTTTTTTTTTTTTTTTTTTTTTTTTTTTTTTTTTTTTTTTTTTTTTTTTTTTTTTTTTTTTTTTTTTTTTTTTTTTTTTTTTTTTTTTTTTTTTTTTTTTTTTTTTTTTTTTTTTTTTTTTTTTTTTTTTTTTTCCCCTTCCCCCCCCCCATTTTTTTTTTTTTTTTTCGTGAATCATGTCCCAATTGTTGCCCGGTACTCATACCAACCTTGTTTATCTTGATCTCTCGGAAAATAAATTGAGTGGAAGAATACCTGAAAGTATTGGACAGATGTCCAATCTGGAGATTATCGATTTGCATATGAATTCTTTTGAAGGAGTCATTTCAGAAACTCATTTCTCGAAACTCTCCAAATTAAGGTATTTGGATTTATCCTCTAACTCACTAGTTTTAAACTTCAGTTTTGATTGGGTTCCTCCCTTTCAATTGCTTGACATAAGTTTGGGGTCTTGTAAGATGGGGCCGTATTTCCCGGAATGGCTTCGAACTCAGAAAAGTTATTATCGGCTGGATATTTCTGATGCTGGAATTTCTGATACCATTCCAACTTGGTTTTGGGATTTGCAAAATAAATTGGGGTATAAGGATTTGTCTCGCAATCAAATTAGAGGAAATTTGAGATCAGAGTTAGCATATAGTCATTTAAATGTGAGTTGGAACCAATTGGAGGGTCCAATCCCTTCAATCCTATCAAACGTGTCAATCTAGATCTGTCCAATAATAAATTTTCAGGGTTAGCTTCATTATTGTGCACAAGTACAACCGAGAAGAGTAATTTAGAATATCTTGATCTCTCAAGCAACAATGTGTCCGGAGATCTTCCAGACTGCTGGATCCATTTTCAACAATTAATCTTTCTTGATTTGAGCAACAACTCTTTATCTGGGAAAATTCCTACCACGATGGGATACTTGTTTGGTATCAAGACACTAAAACTAAATAATAACAGATTTGTCGGAGAGTTGCCTTCACAATTGAAGAATTGCACAATGTTGACACTTGTTGATGTTGGGGAAAATAAATTGTCAGGATTAATACCTGAATGGCTAGGGGAAAATCTTCTAAATTTGGCTATCATTATCCTTCGATCTAATCAATTTTATAGGAGCATCCCGCCACAGTTATGCCATCTTACACACCTTCAAATTTTGGATTTGTCGATGAACAACATCTCTGGAACTATACCGAAATGTCTCAACAATTGGACTACTTTGGCTAAAAAAGGAACGTCAACTCTAACTATGCATCATCAGTCCTTTCTTTTAGACTATATAGATGAAGAATATGTAACATGGAAAGGAGTAAGGTCAAAATACAAAAATACTCTGGGACTTTTAAAGAGTATTGATCTCTCATGCAATAAGTTGAGTGGGGAGATTCCTACTGAAATCACTTATCTTGTTGGTGTGGTTTCTTTAAACTTGTCGAGAAACCAATTAACAGGTCAAATACCTTCAAGGATTGGAAATTTGGAGGAGTTGGATTCTCTTGATTTATCAAGAAACCAAATAAATGGCAGAATTCCAACAAGTCTTTCTTGGATATATCGTATTGGTTACTTGGACTTGTCACAAAACAACTTGTCTGGAAAAATTCCAATAGGCACTCAGCTCCAAACCTTTGTCTTTGCTTATGGTGGAAATCCTCTGCTTTGTGGAGAACCACTCCCAAGGACATGCTCCGAGGAGGAAAAAGGTCCAGGACAACCAGTGTTGGTGAATGAAGACGATAAAGATGGGCTCATAACACAAGGATTTTACATCAGCATGGGGCTTGGCTTTGCTGTTGGATTTTGGGGAGTTTGCGGCACTCTTTTGCTCAACAGGTCATGCAGATATGCGTACTTCAATTTTTTGACATTTCTGAACGATTGGCTGTACGTGAAGGTAGAAATCATCAGACAAAGGATCCTTAATAAATAAAAGGTAATTACTACTATCTTTCTTACATACTAGTTATGAAATTAAATTATGCAAGTTAGTTGTTCTTAACCCCGAAATATACATGCAGATATTACATAACATAAGAAATGAAAACTAAAAACTAAAATTGAAATGATTATCAAACGGGCCCTTAGTTTATGTGATTTATCTTTTTCAATCTTATGGGTTGTTTAACCTTTGTCTTTAGCGCAGGCACCTTTGAGACGACATCCTTCCCTTCAGTTGAAGATGGATGCGATGGACTCCTATTTGTACTAGTTTTCGAGTATTTGAGTGATGATAAGGGATCTCACTGAAATAAAGGAACCATTTTAGTAGATTAGTTGTGCTGTTATTTGTAAGAACTTAATGGGAACTTCTCCCATGAACTATTTGGTATGATGTTCTTATGTACCTCATGGTGTATGTTTTTTTCTTTTGCAATGTAAGAAATGCAAACGCAGAATTGCCTTTTATTGTATTGTTGTTATGAATAAAACAATGGAATTTGAGTTAACATATGTTATTATCTTTCGTCTGTGTAAGAAAGAAAATACTAAAAAAAAAGAAATTGATGACACTGGGCCTGCTCAAGTTTGCTGTATTCTACATTGGGCTATAAAGTATCTCAGTCTCATAAACACAAGGAAATAGCAATAGAAATGAAGAAGGGAAAAATAGAGCAAAAACAAGGGAGAGGATATTGCTCTCGGCACTAGCTTTTCTATTTATACAAAAAGACATGTACATATTAATAACAACTCTAGGACATTAATTTGAACAACTTGTGCACTAATTCATCAAAAGTCATGAAATGTAAAAAAAGAAAAGGAAATTACGCTTCTTTAGAATCAAGGTTTCAATGATGGAGCCAATTGCAAGAGACGATGCTTATTAAGTAGGAAGTAAATTTTTATGGATTGGCTATGAGATGTGCTTTATGACATATGAAAATTGCAGAAGTGAAGCTTCAGAAGGAACTATACAAACAGATGATAGTAGAAACATTTCCCTGGAAAAAGATCTAAAGAATGTACCACAATTTGCACTGGTGGGTGCTTTGAATTTAGATTTGGACTGATGGTGATGATGACCACCATTGACATTAATAGTACAACTACTAATCTTTTTATAGGCCAGTTAGGTTCTATGAGCTAGGTGGGTCCCTCACCTTTAAAAAAAAGCAAATAGTATAGCCGCGCCGCTATACTTCGGGTTTTTTGAAGTCTTTTAATAAATAGTATAGCCGTAGGGCTATACTTGAGTTATTTTCTAGATTTTTCTAATAAATAGTATAGCCGCTCGACCATACTTGGAGTTAGTAAGGGCTTCTTTTCCCCTTGCAAGATACGGTAGTTGAGATTGCAATGAAATGGACTAAAGATCTGAGAACTGGCGCTCTTGGGGTGAGATTCATGGCTGTTGATCTAAACACAATCATGTTCAACATGGAACAAGGCCAAGACACGACAGAGGCATGTTTCTTTCCCCCCCACTTTGTGTCTTTTAGCCTCCAGATCAAAGAGAATGAGATTCCTTTGTGTCTTGCTAGAGAAATTGCGCAAGATACTTTTACATTCTCAATTATTTTTATAATTCTATTACAATTTACATTCAATGTTTTCAGGAAGTAAGTTTGTCCTTCTAATCCCTATAAAATGGCAGGACACGAACACCTTATAGCTTACCCGTTCTAATCCGCACAAATTGTAAAAATCCTTCATCTCTACTTCCAGTGGCAGACCTGTGCAGGCGCAAGGAGGTGCACCTGCATCTCCGGTCTCCAGAAAACTCCATTAGAGATGCTGGAGTTGCACCTCTGCTTCAGAACAACAACACACACCACATGTTCAATGAAATGCGCAAACCAGTCTGCGCTGCGCTGCTGCTGGTGCGAGTTTTTTGTTTTTTTTTTTTACGAAGCCTGGCCAAAACGACGTTGTTTTGGACCAGTCTTTTTAAAAAGGCGCTGCTTTATTTTTATTTTTTTTAAAAACCTGGCCAAAACGACGTCGTTTTGGTCCAGGGTTTTTAAATTAAAACAAAACGGAAAAAAAGGGAAACTTAAGCTATAATTCGTGGGCTTTTTGTGGGCTTTTCAAAGGGCTTTTAGAATTCCTTACTTAATTGGGTTTTAATTGGGAGTTCCCTTTATTCAATTGGGTTTTGGGAATTCCTTAATTAAGTAGGATTGAGATTTCTCTTTATAAAAGGCCAATTTAACATCACCCAATTTCATCAAAGTGTGTGTGCATCACAAGAATCCTGTGTTTTTTTTCCTTCTTGAGTACGCCAATCCAAAGTAAGTCGAATGCATTTTTTTTTTCTTGAGCAAATGCCAATTTGTTTATTCTTTTTTTGACAATTTTTTTTTCTTATTTAGCTATCTCTGTATTAGTAAGATAAGTAGCAAATTCGAGGAGGAAGAGGCTACGTGACACGTTATTTGAGGTATAATTAATTTTAATTTGTTTATTTAATTGATAATTTGATATTGATTTATTTATTTAATTGATAAACTATAGTCAATTAGTCATAGTAATAGATATAAAACCTCCATTTAGTGCAAGGTCTCGGGGCTGAAGACGGCGATCCGGATCCCTTCTTTTCCTGGGGAAGAGAAGCCCAAAACAAAGATTGCTGCGAATGGGATGGAGTCCACTGCAGCAACCAAACTGGCCATGTTGTTCAGCTTGAACTCCATTTAGTGCAAGGTAAGATTAGTCCTAAACTCATTGAGTTGCAGCATTTGGAATATTTGGACCTTAGTTGGAATAATTTCAATGGGAGCCAAATTCCAGATTTCATTGGATCTCTGAGCAATTTAAGATACCTCGATCTCTCTCAAGCAAATTTTGGAGGTTTAATTCCATATCAACTTGGAAACCTTACAAACTTGGAATATCTCGATCTTAGATGTCAAGATTATCCTTCTCGCTCTATTGTTTATGCAAAAAATCTGTATTGGCTTCCTAATCTTTCTCGTCTAAAATACTTGGACCTAAACTCACGCACTTGACATTAGAGATGTGTAATCTTCCTCCTCCAGTTATATCCTCTGTTTCTCTCTTGAATTCTTCTAAATCTCTTGTTCATGTCGATCTCTACAAAAACAATCTTAACTCATCAATTTCCCAATGGTTGCCCGGTACTCATACCAACCTTGTTTCTCTTGATCTCTCGGAAAAATAAATTGAGTGGAAGAATACCTGAAACTCATTTCTCGAAACTCTCCAAATTAAGGTATTTGGATTTATCCTCTAACTCACTAGTTTTAAACTTCAGTTTTGATTGGGTTCCTCCCTTTCAATTGGATACGATAAGATTGGGGTCTTGTAAGATGGGGCCGTATTTCCCGGAATGGCTTCGAACTCAGAAAAGTTATACCTGGCTGGATATTTCTGATGCTGGAATTTCTGATACCATTCCAACTTGGTTTTGGGATTTGCGAAATGACATTGTGCTAAGGATTTGTCTCGCAATCAAATTAGAGGAAATTTGAGATCAGAGTTAGCATGTGATTTTTTAAATGTGAGTTGGAACCAATTGGAGGGTCCAATCCCTTCAATCCTATCAAATGTGTCATTGCTAGATCTGTCCAATAATAAATTTTCAGGGTCAGCTTCATTATTGTGCACAAGTACAACCGAGAAGAGTAATTTAGAATATCTTGATCTCTCAAGCAACCATGGATCCATTTTCAAAAATTAGTCTTTCTTGATTTGAGCAACAACTCTTTATCTGGGAAAATTCCTACCACGGTGGGATACTTGTTTAGTATCATGACACTAAAACTAAATAATAACAGATTTGTCGGAGAGTTGCCTTCACAATTGAAGAATTGCACAATGTTGACACTTGTTGATGTTGGGGAAAATAAATTGTCAGGATTAATACCTAAATGGCTAGGGGAAAATCTTCTAAATTTGGCTATCATTATCCTTCGATTTAATCAGTTTTATAGGAGCATCCCACCACAGTTATGCCATCTTACACATCTTCAAATTTTGGATTTGTCGATGAACAACATCTCTGGAACTATACCCAAATGTCTCAACACTTGGACTACTTTGACTCAAAAGGAGAATTCAAGTCCAAGTATCAAACATTCCAATGAAATTCAGGTGGGAGAATCATCAGTCTATGTTTTTCCTTATGATGATGAAGCATTTTTAACATGGAAAGGAGTAAGGTCAAAATACCAAAGCATTCTTGAACTTGTAAAGAGTATTGATCTATCATGCAATAAGTTGAGTGGGGAGATTCCTACTGAAATCACTTATCTTGTTGGTTTGGTACCTTTGAACTTGTCGAGAAACCGATTAACAGGTCAAATACCTTCAAGGATTGGAAATTTGCAGGAGTTGGATTCTCTTGATTTATCAAGAAACCAGATAAATGGCAAAATTCCAATAAGTATTTCTTGGATAAATCGTATTGGTTACTTGGACTTGTCAGAAAACAACTTGTCTGGAAAAATTCCAATAGGCACTCAGCTCCAAACCTTTGACTCTGCTTATGGTGGAAATACTCTGCTTTGTGGAGAACCGCTTCCAATGACATGCTCTGATGAGGAAAAAGGTCCAGGACAATCTGTGTTGGTGAATGAAGACGACAAAGATGGGCTCATAACACAAGGATTTTACATTAGCATGGGGCTTGGGTTTGCTGTTGGATTTTGGGGAGTTTGTGGCACTCTTCTGCTCAACAGGTCATGCAGATATACGTACTACAATTTGCACTGGTGGGTGCTTTGGCTTTAGATTTGGACCGATCGTGACGACGACCACCATGAGGAGGGTGAGGAGAAGGCAGAGAAGTCGAAATCTTAATGAAAGCAAAGATAACTTGATATCGGCATCAGAAGTCAAAAGATACCTTTATAATGTTTTATCCCTTTCTTTCCCTCTAGCCTCCAGTTGAAGGAGTATGCGTTGAACCAACCCGAGGCCTATGAAATAAAGATTGGCGATCAAGTTTTTGAAGACCTGGAGATCCTCCTTTGGAGGAAGTTTTGAGAAGCTCCAGAATGAAAAAAGAGAGTGGAGAATGACAGTCCAGCAGAGAGCAAAAGGCATTTGAAAGAGGAACTGTAGCTATACTTGTAAGTTTTTCTGACATGTAATATAATGACCATTTTTGTAACTCCATAGCAACCTCCACTCCGAATATTCATGTATTACCATTCAAGTTGATTTTAGGCTGCTGATGAAGCCGACGGATATGCAAAATGACAATTGTAGACATGATTATTTATCGAGATTCTGTTTTTATCTATTTATTTTAATGGAACCAGTGCATAAAAACTGCTCAAGAGTAGGCCATCTATTTACCATTTTCTCATCTGTGCGGGATATCCCAGTTAGTCACCTGCAGGTGTAAAAGGTAAGTATTTCACCATTTAGAATGAAAACCCAGAAGCAACTTCAATAATACTCAGCTTCTTTGTTTGAAAGGGACAAATTCTGTTCAACAGATCACAACAGAGGAAGTACATAAAATTTCTGACTGTAAGATTCTAAGTCTCCGACAAATTTGCAGTTTAAATGAATTAATACATTCACAGCTGGATAGGGAATAAGAAGAAGAACAGTATGAAAAGAAGCTACTTCAACTTCTTACTGAAGTCAGAAAGCTCAAGGATCCGAATCCTGGGAATTGTAGCTGCCTCCTCCCTCTCCTTCTGTGTATTGTACCCCCAATCACCTGATCCAATTCATCCCAAATTAGCAACCGCAGCAAATGAGTACCACAATGAAGCACATACAGCAATATAAATAGACAAGTTAAAGAGTCTGTGTTTGATAAGGGTAAAGGGAGAATTTTACCTAGATACAAATTCCAACCATCCAATTCAGGTTCTTTGATCACATTCTTTAGGGTTGCCAGTCGATCTTCGACAAAGCTGGTCAATGTTGAGCGTATATTATCGAAAATTCGTATCTTATAAAAAAAATTCAAATACGAAGCAGAAAAGTATCTTACTGCGGTTTCAGCCCCTGATCAGAGCGGAGAGATATGGCGGATCTGCCATGGGTGAGGATGAAAACGGCACAATTGGGGATGGGCCCTTTTCTTTAATTATTTTTGTAATAATTGCTTTAAGATGAGAAGGGTAAAATCGAGATGATAAATGTGAATAAATGATGTGTTAAATCATAAGACAGGTGCCAACATGAAAGAAAAGGGACACAGAATTGGGACAGCAGATCCGCTCCCGTGTGGGTGGGGTGAGAGCTTAGAGAGAGAGGAGACAAATAAGAAATATGAGGGGAGACACGGAGATCGATAGAGTAGAAAGATGCATGCAAGTTCGGTATTTCAAAAGGCCCGTTCAATTTCCCAAGGCTCTTTTTGACTTAGGGCTCTCCTTTTTCATTATTTATACTGGCTCATTGGCAATTGGTGTATTTAAATGTTTTATATTTATACTGGCTCCTTCGTGAGATTCAGCTTTTTAAAGCTTCTTTTCGGTTCTCCGTTGGTCTTGAGTCCCAGGAAGCCAACCAAGCTGCGGATTGGATAGCTTCGTCGATGCGGGGGGGTTGGGGCGCTGAGGCTGGGTCTTCGACCCCCAACACTCCCTGGTTTTCATTCTCTCTCGCGATGGGCTGCCTGGTCCCCCGCTTCCTTTGTGATGCTTTTTTTTTTGGCGCTGGCTGGGTTTTGTAGCTTTTATCTCGTTTTAACTTTTCTTGTCGCTTTGGTTCTTTCTTGTGTCTGCCGTTGAGGTTGGTGGTTCCGATGGATCTTGACCTCTATTGGTTGTTATGCAGTTCAACTTTACCCCCCCCCACCTCCCCCCCGTTTCTTCTTTCGTTTAGACCTTTCCCACCTCTGGCCACCTTTCCCTTTTGGTTTCCTTCCTTTTCCCCATTCAGGTCCGTACTTGACCCCTTCGCCTTTTTGTCCGGTGCTTGCCAGAAAACTTTCCGTTACTTTCCAATTCTGTCACACATTTTAACTGCACGGAACGTGTGGAGTGGCGGACTCTTTGGTAAAGTGTTACTTTTTTTTTTTTTTTTTTTTTTTTTTTTTTTTTTTTTTTTTTTTTTTTTTTTTTTTTTTTTTTTTTTTTTTTTTTTTTTTTTTTTTTTTTTTTTTTTTTTTTTTTTTTTTTTTTTTTTTTTTTTTTTTTTTTTTTTTTTTTTTTTTTTTTTTTTTTTTTTTTTTTTTTTTTTTTTTTTTTTTTTTTTTTTTTTTTTTTTTTTTTTTTTTTTTTTTTTTTTTTTTTTTTTTTTTTTTTTTTTTTTTTTTTTTTTTTTTTTTTTTTTTTTTTTTTTTTTTTTTTTTTTTTTTTTTTTTTTTTTTTTTTTTTTTTTTTTTTTTTTTTTTTTTTTTTTTTTTTTTTTTTTTTTTTTTTTTTTTTTTTTTTTTTTTTTTTTTTTTTTTTTAAAACCTGAAAACAGAACGTCTAATAAAACACAAAGCCCATAATCAATAAATTTGTCATGCCTTTTGGTCCCATCCAAATTAGGCCGTAAAAATTTACTAACTGTAGTTTCCCTGATTTTTAGTAACACATGTATCATATGTCAGCATTACTCGAATACAGATGTTTGAATTTAACATCCATATCGTAAATGCTGCAGAGTTTTCACAACAACACCCAGGCTTCATGAATCAAGCAGGCCTATGACTATATGATAGGATACATGCACTAGTGTTTGGGGCTTGATCAATGTGCCGGCGCTAGAGATTATCTGGAGATATTCGCTATCTTAATCAAAGATAATTAATCCAAATTAAAACGATAATTAATACCGGTTAATATAAGTAGAAGTAAGAATGTTAATTAGATAATGTATGGACCCTAAGATTATTCATATTTTCAAACAGTGTCATCTCCTTTATTGGCCCACGAAATAATCTGTTCTGCAAGACAACGACAAACATAGGTTAGGCTAAAAAACGTGGTGAAAATCCACTTGTGTTGCTTCATTACTTTGAGTTCGGAGGGATGAACGAGTAGATATTAGTCTAGTAATTTTGATGAGGAAAGAGGCAGAGGAGGAGGGGATGGCGTTTGTATTGAAGTTTGAAGACATATGTGATATAAAGGTTAACTTTCTAGCCAACAGCTGTACTAGTGTGCTATTATGCATTTCTCCCTTTTATGTGTGAACTCGGGGGGCGCTAGCGAATCGCACTGACGTCTTTTTAGCTGTCATAAAAGATAGGATAAGATATCCACTCGCAAGCAGGCCAAATTTTGCGTGCAATTTGGTGTTAATTACCTTCAGGGGAAAGGGGTTCCATTAAATTGCGGGAACTCCGACTTCCTTTTAACTTCTTTCTTTTTATTTGTTGTTGAATGTTCCTATGATGGAATGATCCATGAGGGCGATCCCGCAAAGTGAAATGACTGGAGAGAATGAGGGTTGAGTGAGGTAGGTTAGCGACGAGGGAAAGTCAAGGATTAGACGGCTCGTAAAAATTAGAAAGTTAAAACAATAAAAGTGCAAGTCCCAATGCTTCAAATACATCTAAAGAAATTCTTCAGGCAACCTCCTCCCTCACATATGTATTTCTTTCTGATAGAAATTAGTTTGGATGTTAAAAAAATATTGGGCTAATTATTTGTCGTGGGGACCAAAGTTCACTATGGTTGAAGAAGAGGGCGATACCGCTTAGAGGTGAAGATGAGCATGAAAAATGGTTTGGTGTGGTGAGCAAATTCAAATGCATTGCCATGCCATGTCGAACGGGAAAAAAAGCGAAGAAAATCTCTTCTTTTTCTCACCTATTACACAAATCACTTGACAATCGGCACGAATCGGACTTGACTCAGCATTCAATGCGATAATCTGGAGGAGAGGTTGTTCGGTTGAGTGGAGGATATTGGCTCAGTCAAAACGTGAAAATAACTTTGCCCAAACCTTCCTGCTTTCTCGCGCATTGTGGCACCCTCCCAACGCTGAGAAGCAACCCCGAGCTATTCAACTCAATAACTACAACAAAACGTTGGTCTCTCACTTCTGTATGCATAACATTGGGTCTATGGTAACAAGCTAAGCTAGCTCTCGCAAATTTGAAAATGTCGCCCTAATTACTTGGGATAGCTTGTTGAAAAAATTTTACAAATAATTCAATCTTACTTGGACAGATTCATCTGAATTTCTTTGGAATCCGCGATGTGAGGCCTTGTGTATCTCACCACTTGAAACAGGCGTTGGTACTCATTTAACTAATAATTCTCTTATCATAGTATCCAAACAACCCTTAGTAGGTTTGGACGTTCTAGTACCATAAAAAATGGCAAAGTCTCCTGTTTAAATGGCTCCCTAAAACCCAAATCCCCTACACGAAAAAAATAACATTTACATCAGCCAATCGGGTGGTCAGCAAAAGCATATAGATAATAATTCACTACACCCTAAGCAACAATAGCTAAAGGTCTTAACCATGCCCATTTTATCACCCAACCATAGAAACCAATAATCGATCCAATGGTTTTAGAACCCTTACGAGTGCCGAATACCACGTCATCCAATCAGCAACTATTCCCAATAGTAAAGACCATAACGTAAAGTTTGTGATTTTGTAGCTCCCTGAGTGGGTGCCGCTCCATACTATGTCTACTAATGATTCAACAGCGGGGCGCAATAGTTCTTGAAAGGTTGCCTAATTTACATATCCTCATCAAGAACAACCACAAGCAAACTATATAATTCCATGTAGCCAATATCAAAAACACCCAGTGAACCATAATGGAAATTCAATGATCGGGAAGGTTGTTCTCGAAAATAAGTTACTTTTCGTAAAAAGTCGAAAATGAAGTCAGACGATTCTGAATTTACATTAATTGCCCATTGACGTGGAAAACCTCCTGAAATGGCCCTGTTTATATAGTCTCCGTACAGAATTTTGTTGTTTGCGAAAGTCGATTCAAACGCCGGCACCCTCCACGAATGTTGTTCCGTATGGCACTTTGAGATGGCTGGCGATTCTGTTTGGTATTACAGACAAACCAGCTTTCACGTTCTGGGACTTATAGAACAGCACAGCACCAAAGCAAGATCTTAGCGTGCAATACCGTCCTATGCTGCTGCTGGGATATGGTTTCCATGGTGCAACTGAACGAACGAACAACCACATACAATTCATGGATAGGTTACAGCGTGCCACAATGAGGTAAGATTTAAAGATGCTGGAATTAAATTAAGAAGCAATGGGGTCAATTTGAATACAGATGACATGGCTGTGGTTGGATGTTAAAATACATTATATATCGGTGTTTTAGCAGGCTAAAGACTTGTTGGTCTTTTAAATGTTTGCGATATCATACTAGCGAGACTCGGGGGTATCTTCTAAGCCTGTTTCACCGTAAGTAGCAAGTCAATATTAATGGCGTAAAAAAAGTTCTGCAATACATCTCCATGGACTAAGGAAAAGTTTAGGTTAGAGTTCCAAATAAATTAATCTTATGAATATAGATTGTGTCGTACATGCATTGAATGTAAAGTAGCATGATCATTAGTGATGTACGGTCTAGATTTCATATATGTTGGGCTGAATTGTATTGGCGGTTTTTGCACTGGAAAACTGATATGGATATCCGAGAGGCAAAGAATCCTTTTTTTCAATTACGGAATATGTGCTTTGTCCCCCTGTTACAAATAGGCTGTAACATATTCCCATCGGATTTGCTTAACATTGCTTCTTCACTCTGCCGATTGGTGTTGAGCTGACCACAGTGTTGGTTCCCGAAATTGCTTGAGAGCTTTTCTTTAGTTTTTTGGGTAATCTAATGGAATTGGGCCGACGCAGCAGGTAGCTTGTTTTCAGGTGGGTGTTTTGGGTTTGATACGTAAACAAAAAGTGTCTGTACTACTGTACTAAACTAAAGATGGATTTGGTGTCGGGGCATGCTTTTCCTTTTGTAATAGTGAAATAGTTCTACCTTTCCCAAAAGGTCCGGAGAATCCACACAATGTAAAATAAGGCATTTAGGAAACCTTTAGTGTGGGCATATTGATAGCAGTTGTATTTATGGCTATGGGGGTACAGATTATCTGCAAGATTCCTACGAATCAGTATCTTTATCTTATATTTATATCAACCAGTGTAAAACCATGGCAATTTAATTTCACAGATTACTGCAAGGAACGAATAGACTCGATATGAACTATAGGAGGTTCATTTAGTGAGCGCAGATGGCAACCATTCAACTTACATGAAAAAAAACGCTCCTGAATAGACTCATATGCTATAGGAAAGGATGGGAATATGGTCTGGTTTTAGAAACGAGCAGGTGAATAGTGCGCAGAAAGGTTTCAGTTAACAAGCAAAAATAGTTGTTGATAACAATGATAACAGGTGGAAATCAAATATAGGAAGTCTATTGGGCACTAAAATAGTTCATAAAGACATAGATGAACGTGCGGTGGTTTATGCGACCGCTTCTAGACGCTAGTAAATATCTTGGTGTTGTAGAGAAATTCCATCAGGGGAGAGGAACTTGTAATACCTTTTAGCAGTAATCTGTAATTTCACGCGGAAATAAGAGTGAGCGTAATTGATGATTTTTGCTGCCATACGATACATTCAACTGTAGCATTGTCATAAAAACGATGAGCGAGGAGATTCAACAGTACCAGCCTATAATCCTATATAATTGTAGTCGTAGATTTGATGTATTCGGTAGGTACCACATGACGGTAACATTTGTGCTTAGACCCGGGTTGTAAGGACACGTTCGGTGCTAGGTGGAAACAAATCTGTCCAAGGGCCAACATGTAATAAGAGGATTAGATTATCATTGGACGGGGGGGGGAGAAAACAGAACAATAAACTTGTATCTGTTAATCATGGTATAATCCATATGTTGTGAATATCGCCAAGCATATTCGAAATGACAAGGAATTCAATAACAACCAAGGGAACTTCATGATATCAAGAAAGCCCATCATGACTATATATAAGGTACATGACTCGTTTGGGGACTAGATCATGCTTCCTAGAATTTATATTAAATCTGGTTCTCACTGAAATTATAAATGAGTCGCTTCATAACAGGGATCCAGACCAAATGGTTAGAAAAGATGTCAAACATTGTAAACAAGGAGCAAATCCCGCGCAGCAACCACATATGCAAAGGATTGCATCAAGTCATGCCTCATAACCAGGAGATTGTAGTCTTCAAGTAAAAAGAAAAAACAGGGGACAACTGGGTGATGCTTTGGTCTGTGTCAGAGGAGACGTCCACTTCCATCAACCCCCCTTCTTCTTCTGTGTTCAGCCGCAGCCATCCATCATAGACGGTCGTAACCTCACCAACGTGAAGAAACTAGTCGATAGGGTAGGCTCCACGGCTGTTGAAGGGCTGCCCTCGGTCTCAGGAAACATGCCAGCCTCATCCTGAAGCAATTTTGAAACATAGGTATTCATTTTTCAACAACAAAATAGATCACAAACGTAAGAATTTCATTCAGCACAATTAATAAGATTACAAAGAGCGGGCACTCCACATCATAACTCCAAAGATAGAAATCAAGCTTTTGGCCACAGTTTACTCAATGCTCTGTTACTCGATGCTAAAATATATATAAAACGTAATTATTGACTAAGCATGTACATTTATACAGACAAATTCTTCTCATTACCCAAAGTAAACCCAAATCAACAAAGTTCTTACAGTAAAAGTAAACCCCAATATTTACAAAAAACTGAAGAAAAAGTCTTGCTGTAAAAGTAAAACTCCAAATTTATTTTACCAAGCTGTCAATTAAGCCTCTAAAGCAAGGTCACGGAACGTTACCGTCGGCCATAGCCTGGCCAGGCCTCCAGTCAGGTGCCGGAGTGGGAAAAACGTCGGGTGGTGCTGGAGGCATGAAGAAAACTGGAAGGATTTGTGCCTAATCCCATATCTTCCATTACCTTGAACACCTGGAATGGCAGAGTAAGGTAATTCCACAGTCCAAGTGTTGGACCCGAGATGCAGGCTCACCTTTTGCAGGTACTCTTCAGCTTGTTTCTCCTTGCCAGCTTCAAGCAGGTAGCAATGCACAATTTTGATGAAGCGTTTGTTGCTGGCCACCAGAACCTGCGCCACGCAGTCCTTGAGAAGAGCAGAATCAACCGGACCGGGGTTAATCCTGTGGGCTGAATGACTTTTATCGACAGCAATTTGTTCTGCAAGACCCTCTTTCAGGAAAGTGAGTGAGAAGTACTTTTGCAGTATGGGAAGCATTTGTTCTTTGAGATTCATAAATCTAGTATAACTTTAGACTGGCAAAAGTACATAAGCAAATTCACACAAGAAGTTGACAGGGCTGTCGAGCCTAGTATGGATTTATAACTGGACATTACAAATTACAATACATATGGATGGAAACAAACCCTCACTCTCTTCTAAACAAACCTCTCTTCAAAACAAACCCAGCAAAACCAAAGCAACAAAACAAACGCACAAGTTTCACACACAAAAAGCCTTCCACTATAAAATGAAACAATCCAAAGGGACTTTTCGGAGGATTGATTCAGAATGATGAGTCAGAATCAGAGGACACGCCCTCCTCCTCTGCTTCATCAATAGGCGCCTTGTCCCGAGCCAGGGCTTTAGCCTCATCGATCCGAAGAACCCCGACGCCGTGGCTGGGCTTCTTCTTCGGCAGATCATAGGGACAACATGGGTCGTCCTCGTCCACACCACCAACAGCCACCGCTTTGCGCTTCGCCACGTTGCTCTGCTTCTCATAACCAACACCATAATTGCGACCATCCGACTGAAAACAAAGAAAACAGATATTCAATGCAATCAAGTTGAAGTTACCCATCTACAAATTACTAAATAGTACCATAGTTTCATCGTTGCCGTTAAAATTGGCACCGGTGCCGGCGGCGGCAGCAATGACATGACAATGAATATGAGCATGGTTGAGGGCGGCCGTCCAGCCTTGTTGTGGAATGGGAAGCAGCTGCTGCGGCGGCGGGAATTGAACATCATCGGATTCGGAGCCGATTGGGGCCTCAACGAGCCCTTTCGCAACGAGCGTCTTCTGAATTTCGGCTCTCAGGGTGAGAATATTCCAGATACGAATCGAGTCCAGGTTTCCGATTTCGGCTTCACTTTTGCCGCTCAGAATCTTCCTGTACTCCGCCACCTCATCATCACTCCAGTACTCGCCCAGGTACCACACCACGTAATCAGTGAACCGGGAGATGTTCTGTCTCTCGATTTCTCCGACGAACTCCGTCGCCGGAGCCGTCGCATCCGGGGGCGAGACATTGAGATCAGGGATATAATTGGGTCCCCCGTTTGGTGCGGGGGTCCACAAAATTCTGGTCACCACCCTCAGCCGGAACCAGAAAACAGAAATCCACCACTTGCCGGCGGCTGCTGCTATGGCGTAAGGCCATGTTCAACCGGAACGCCGTGATTGCAGCCATAGCGTCTTGTCGGGTGGGTCCATTGACCGGGAGAGCAGTCAGAAGGACCTTCTCCGGACACAAACCAGTACCTCCGCCGCCACAGTAGACCGCCGCGTACACCGTCGTCTGTGGGCCCCTGAAGCTGAAAGCAGCGTTTGGCGCCACGATAGCAGCTGAGGCTGGACTGTGGCCAGCCCCTCCAATGTTACTGCTTTCTTCGACCTCTGCATCTCGGATCGTTGGCAGACGGACTTCTCTTAGGTGGTGGAGGAGTAAATTGGAAGAAGAAGGCCCGAGAAGAGAAGCCATGGCGATTGCTGCTATAGCTTGCAAGGTCTGAATCTGATGGTGAGAGAGAGAGAGAGAGGAGAGAGTTGAGAAGATGGAGAGAGGAGAGATGTTGTTGGGTTGAAGAAGATGGAGCTTGGTTTATAAGAGGAAGGTGGGTCCCACTGGATGCGCGGGTCTCATTTTCATGAAAAGCCAAGGAGTGGATGTTGCCGACCATTTTTATTTGGTTAGTATCGTTAACTCACTGAAGCGTGATGGCTGCCTGGAAAGTAACCACGTGAGAATTGGAGAAATTAGTTTTGGAAACCACGTGAGAATTGGAGAAATTAGTTTTGGAACGCACTAATCATCAGCAATTAGATGATGTAAAATAAATAACAATTCCACACCTAAGTTTTATTAGTGTGTGTGTGTGTTACGACTGCAGCACTTGTGCAAGTTTCCTCTGCACAAACAAATTATGTTCCGCCCACCTTCTCTCAAAACTTGACCCAATACCAAACCTCAAGTAGCATTTGACGTGGCAATTTTGTTCCATCGCTTTAGAACAAGCTCAATCTGCAGTGGAAACATGAAAGTCCCCAAAATAAAGTAATTGTTTTATTCGGCTACTTAACTTTTACGCTATCCAAATTACTATTCACTTCATTCTTAATAAAATTAAACCCAAAAAAAATATTTGACAGGAAAATTCAACAATTTAAATGGTATGAGGTGTACAGGCAAAGAATGGATGGAACTTGTAATAATGTATAACCAATGAAATCCTAGTATACGTGAAAAGGATGAACGACTAAGACATTTTTTTTTTTTTTTTTTTTTTTGTTTTTTTTTTTTTTTGTTTTAGGGAACGACTAAGACATGACATGATTGTCCAATTGGCAAGGCGTTCTCGGATGAGATGGACCAACAGCTGTCACCAAACCAACGATCCTAAGAGTGCCATGTCGCGGGTCTGTTGATTTGGTTCAGCATAAGGCCATGGATGGATACGCATGAAATCCTTACCTGAAACCAATGAGATGAGAGAGAGCCGAACGAAAAGGACCAAAACAAAGTTGAAACCAACGAACTAGGAAAAAGAAAACAGAAAAAAAGAAAAAGCCATAGTTGATATATGAATGGTAGACAAAAGTTTAGCTTTCATCAGGTCATGAGGATATAGTTTAATGAATTCATGAAAGCAAAGCAAGCAAAGCATTACTACCAGGTACCAACTTCCGTATGCAATCTCTAGATCCTCTAGAAATGTTGTCGGCTTCTTTTAGCTTTCGTCCGTGGTAATGATATCTTCAATCCACCACCACCAGTGTGGTGGGGACGAGCTTTTTGAAATAGCTATGTTTTTCTTGCATGCAGCAGGTTGTTCACATATGGCCTTTAAATATGGGATTCCTATTCTTCTTCTTTCTTTATTTGTCACTTATTATTTAAAAATAATTGAGCATCATCATCACCATGGTTGATTTACCAAAAACAGAGAGAGTACAACTTTGCTATAAAGTCCAAATGTTTTTTCACAACTTTAGTTTATCATCTTTAAACATTCCTAATCAATGAGTATACTACCACACCAGTCCACTCAAATTGGACTGCCTGCTTATTTTTGCTCTTTTTGGCTCAAAACCCCTCCAAAACAAATCCCCTTTTGGCCATTTGTCAAACGTAGACCACCACTGATGATAATTATTTCTTGTTTTCATCGTTTGAAATACCATAATTAATATTACTAATTAAAATATAGTGTATAAAATTATCATAGATATCATCATATCCCTAATTCACAATATCTATTGCATTTATAAATAGAAAATCACAAGACAGACTTGGCTTTAGTTTCTCCTTCGGAAAGGATTTCTCCATAATATTCATCAACAATACTTATCAAGTGGCTAACTAGGACTTTGCTGATCTTATTACTACGTATATTCCATTATAATGTGACCCAATTTTATGTGTGATTTTTTTTAGTCTTATTACCTTGTATATATACCTAAAATTGTCCTACAGAATAAATTAATTTGTTGGGGCTTGAATCTTAAAGAATTAAGCACCGTGGTTGGTTAATTTAGGAGACATTGAGATGGAGGAGAGAGACTAGGCATCACTCAATGCAGATTGCGTATAAGACAAACATTGATAGATATTTTTGGACAGGCGTGTTGATAGGATCTCAAGGGTGTTTTAGTCTTTTTGTAATGTAAGCCAATTTAGGAGGTTGGTCCGTATTAGTCAAACGTTGAATTGTATTGTGTTTTGAGTTGAGGTTGAACCGGGTTCTATTAGTGTTTTACTATTATATTATAAATTTATAATTAAGGAGGCTTAAACTTTGTTTGCACCACCAATAATAATAATAATAATAATAATAGGAAAATTTCCCATTCATATTGGACGCAACCGTTTTCTCACTCTTTTTTACTGCCAACAGCTCTAATCTAACAGCGATGATAATTGCCAGCCAAGCAAAGGATTGGGTTAAAACTTCATCCAAATCAACCCAAAGCAACTCTAACAACCAAACAAAGCTATAATCAGGAGAACGATTGTATACGTAATCATCCATCTCACCTAAGATTTTCTCCTGCATTCATTCAGATTCAGGCCAGCAGCAAATTTATGCAATTCCTAAAATCATAAATACAGAAATTCCACATGGAATTCCAAACTTGCAGCAAAAGCAGAGCAAGTTATTCACACAAAAACATTCTAGTTTAAAATAAATAAAACATAAAAGTACAAAAAGGAGATCTCGGTATTGGCGAACAGTCTCAAGAGTCAGAGTCCCCTGCTTCAGGAATTTGGTGATTTGGCCTCATCCATACCAAAAACCCCACAGTACCGGGCCTTCTTGGCGCCCTTCCTGCCTTTTTCAGGAATTGGAAGCAGCTCCTGCGGCGGCGGGAACTCAAGGTCGTCGAAGCGCATTGGGGTCTCCACGAGGCCTTTCGCTATGAGCGCGTTCTGAATTTCGGCTTCCAGGGTGAGAATATTCCAGATCCGAATCGAATCCAGGTTTCCCATTTCGGCTTCGCTTTGGTACTCAGAATCTTCCTGTACTCCGCCACCTTCTCCTCACTCCCGTGCTCGCCCAGGTACCGAACCACATAATCAGTTAGCCGGGAGATGTTCTGGCTCTTGATTACTCTGACGAACTCCTTCGCCGGCGCCGTCTCATCAGGCGGCGAGACATTGAGATCTGGGATGTAATTGGGTGCTCCACCTTCGCCGGCAGCGACTCCGTTTTCTAGAAAACAGAATTGGTGGTGGCTGGTGCTGCTGTTTAAGGACAAATTCAGGCGGTATTGGATAATTGCAGCGGCGGCGTCTTCTGGAGTGCACCCAGTGACGAGAGGGATGCGAGTCAGGTAACCCTTCCCGGGCACAAACTACTTCTTGTCCAGGTTCCGTCGACGGTTGCCGAGTAGAGTCTCGGTGGCCTGAGACCGCCTATGTTCTGCACGGCTGGGATCGCAATCAGACGGATTTCTTCAGATGGAAATGGACAAAATTGGCACGAGAGTTGGGGCTCATTTTGAAGGTTTTTTTGTTGAGAAAAGTGGAGAGTAAAGCTTAAGATGGTGAAGTGAGAGAGAGAGTTGAAGTTGAAGTTGATTTTTCAGTAGCTCTTGTTTTATAGGCAACAGCAGGTGGGGTGTGGTGCCAAGCTCCGTTGCTTAGCTACGGCTCCAAGCCTCCTCCATGCCTAGCTGGGCTTAGAAAAACGGTGGTCGGAAAAGTCAATGGTACGATTTCTTTTCGCCGGCTTGTTTGCTTCTTTATTTATCTTCTAATTTTGCCCTTTTTCTGTTTTTCTTTTATAATTTTATGATATAAGGCCTCTGTTTAAATTTTGGACATTCCAGAACATAAATAATATAAGGCCTCTGTTTAATTTATGTCTTCATCTAGAAGGTCCACTAATTGCTTCACTGACTGCATGAATACATCATCTGATCTCCGTCACTGTCGTCCATGTGTATACATCGCACATCCCCTTTTTTTTTCCTTTCTAAGTTCGGGAAGAGCCCCACTTTCCATTGTTACTCGTTCTCTAAATAATATTTAGTGTTTATTTGAGGCATGTGGTTTTACTGGCATAATCTTAAGGAGATGGTCAGCGTTCTAACAGGTTCTTTCTAGGTAAGACTTCTTAAATAGACCGACGACCAAATGCCCATTAGATGTAGAGGAATTCATCTAATCCCTTAAGTTTTTATACTTGTTTCAACCTATACATCGATAAAACACTATTGCCCTTGATTAAAAAGAAAAAAAAACAAAACAAAAAAGAGGTTACATATTCAAACAAGAAATTAAATCATAAAAATAAAAATAATGTAGTATATATGTCGGCTGACCAAGAGTGTTAAAATGGCTCATCAAATCCAAGACACACGGCTGACCAAACTTAATTTGACTAGAACCTCGTCAGCAATTGGGTCTAAAGTTGAGTCAAATAACAAGAATTGTTTGATGAAGGTCAAATGAAATTCAATATATAATCAAATAACAAGAATTTAGTTGATACTATTTGTAAGATCATTAAATTAATTTAGTCACCAAAAATCATTTACATTTATTTACTCTCCAGAGATAAGATAAACTACGTACAACTAATAAATAGAAGTTTAATTCATTAATCTATTTGCTATAATTTCATAAATAGTTGTGTACCCAGCCCAGTGATTGAGTTGTGTCGTTTTAATCGAGTTAACTTTTTGTGATCAGGTTGAGTGGTTGGATTAAAATGAGTATTTCATTTGTGTTGTGTATATATAAAAGATGAATTAATATATAAAATAAACATGACATGCATTGGGTACAAATATTAAATTAATTGATTAAACTTGATTCAATAAAGTGTGGAAGGCCACCATTATAATATCAGATTTTCCCGTTCAACCGTCTTGTTTCCTTGCTAACAAACAACCAAGCCTGATCGGATAATAAAATATACACAGAAAATAAGAGCGCGAGAGACTTGAAAATTTTGACTAGAGAAAGATTCCAAAGCTGTAATATTAAATTCATAATGCAAATTTTGGGTTTTGTCTGAATCTATATGGGGTTCTTGTTTTTTGGCTACGTCGCAATGTTTGAGCAACTGGGATTTAATATTATAAAGTTGGTAATAATGCATTATGTTTCGAGTTCAATGACATTTTAATTATTTTCAAACACAAAGTATGATATACAAAATCTATTAGCTATAAGTTCTAAATTCATTTGGGATTTACCTAGTCATGGGTCTAAGCAGACAGATATCACGTTGGGTCTTGGAATGTAGTTAGACACCCCAAACTCTAAACTAACATACAATATTGGGTTAGAAAACTTAAACCTCATTTTAAAACTGGGTTAGAAATAATTTGACAGAAGATTATGGAAAAGAGTAGTTTATATGCAGCTAGCTGCAAAGAAAAATTTGCACCGACCTGGGACCACACATGGACACATCATCTCTCATATTGCCCTTATCCACCAAACCGTATATTTCAAGGGGTCAAGTTCAACTAAATTAATAAAAAGACAGAAGCTACTTACTTAAGTTTCCAATGACTAATTAGCATTAAGTTAATTACTTAATTGATCATTTTCAATGGGGTTTGTTCAAAAGCTTCAAACAAATTGTCGGTCATCATGTGCGCTATATTAATTGTATTGTAACTTAGCCGTCATGTGATACATAAATTTGAGATTTTAATTTCAAAGTTTATACCATAACTTAAAAGAACAATATATCACATTTACCAGCATTCGAAAATTTTGTGTGAAAACTGAAAAAGGGTAAAAAAAAAACTTTTACCACAATTTTTGTAGAGGGCATGTAGTGGAGAAGAAGAAGATACCCTTGGATTGGATTGGATCCTGGAGGGCATGATTTGCAGCCAAACCTCTAAACGTTTCACCCCCCAATCCAATTTGGCCATTTGTCAAAGCATGCAACGATGAATGGGATGGGATCCCACTCAGGCTTGTTCACACGCGAAAAATAGATTCACGTTAAATTATCATAGATATACTTAGCTAGAATTATAAAATTATGAGAGGTGAAGTAGAATATAAGAATATAAAACACATAAGAGTTCAATAATTACACGTTTAGAGCTAAATATTTATAATTTAGTCATGTCTAATTTGTTTTAGAGGGAAATTATAACTTAAATTATAAGTTGTTTATTACAAATTCTATATATTTTATATAATATATGACAAGACTCGACCCAAATTCCACTTTGAATCTGAGCCGAAACCATGTGCGTGTCCGACCCTTGGTGGGTGCCGGACACAAATGACCGAATTGCCCTTCTAACTAAAACCAAATTTATTTTAGGTTTGACTTCTGCCGAAAATCCGGCAGAGTCTCACTGTAAATTGCTCATTTTCCAAAATTTCCACATGTCAACAAAGCATTTATATATATATATATATATATATATCCCAATCGTTCAGTATGCATTAAATTTCATTTAGAAAATCCAACCATAACTAAACGGCCGCATGCCATACATAATTTCTAGGGCAATATCAGAGCAGCTAATTCAAAATTTACCATAAAACAGTATAAATAGAAAAGAAATCCTACATAGTGGGAAGATAAGGAAGGGTGACGATGAATGCCCGGCAGCCCGGTGGTGGTGCTCTAGTTCACGCCTACTGTCTGGGGGTGCAAAACATTTGAAAATGTGCGTGGACAAAAATAAAATTTTAGAAAATAGAATATGAACATACTAACCCCACTGTTAAAACCATTTAGAAAATTCAATTATATTCTTCTTATGTTATCGTACAAGAATTCCTAAAACATGCATATTTACTTATATATATATTATTAATCAAGCATTTATTCAAAACATTGGGACTTTTAGAAAACATTTTAAAGAAATAAATATTTTTCCCACCTAAGTGTACCCATTATATACATATAACCGTCAATTCCACGAACTTATATTTAATTCCCTTATTTTCGTCAATTCCTTGTTTCACGTAGTGTGATACATTTTCGCATGCCTCGATAACACAAAGTCAACCCGAGCCGCAATCCTTGCAGGATTCAGGGACATTTAATTCACCTTATTCGCATTTCTCGCTCCGCACGGTCCGGATATCCCTAAGACTCATGGGGCACTATCAAACGTTCTGACGTAATCGAAGGCAACAATATTTTCCAAAGGCAACATCATAACCAAGGGAACATATATCCAAAGGCAACCTGGGTACCTATGGTGGGTTTTAAATAAAAACATTTACTGATAAATTATAAAACTATTTATCATCCATTCTTAAATCCTGTTGCCATTATTCTTCCTACTTTCCAAGCCATCCTCATTTTAAATATAACAGAAATTATATAACTAAAAATATTTGAATTTAAATACTTATGCTTGGAAAGCAATAGTCATTAATACTTATTCCATATCAAATAATGAATAATGAAATTTTAATTGCATAAAATCAGTTATAAAACAAAGCCCACTCACTGAGCGTCGAGGTAGCTTGACCCTTTGAGGGTCCCTCCTGCGGGTCAGATGGTGCCCGAGTACCTATTTAAACCATTAAAAATATTTAATTAATAAAATTGCTCAAAAAAGATTATTTAATCCAAAACCCTGACCCCCGGCTTCTAAAAGTGCATGCACTTGGTTTAAGACCATTTCCTATGCCCACTTACACATTCCGGATGGTTAGAACGGTCTGAAAAGACCCGAGACTCGATAAACAATAAATTTCCATATTGCATTCACCTCCAATTATCAATCCAAGAGTTCCTATAGGTTCCACACAGTTTTAATAGCCCTATCCTACAGGTTTGGTCCGAATCGGATGGTCGGATTAATCACGATCGCTCAATCGGACGGTTATCGTTTAATTAAACTTCAAATCATTGAATCGGAATATCCGGGACTCCGATTCACGATCCGTGAAATCCTACACGATCTTAGGAGTGCCTAGATTAACATATATTAAATTGGAAGTGATCCAACAGTTCGAACGTATCGAACCCGGATAACACACAATAGGTGAAATCCGCTCGAGGTTCAAATGATATTCGAATTGTATAATATATCATATTATCGTCATGCATGCTAAACATTTTTTTTTAATCTTACATCCAATGAAATCCAAGTACAGGAAAAAGGATGGCTAGGACATGATTGAGAGCCGAAGACAAGCAAGAACGCACCAATGAGATGAGAGGGTTGAGAGCCGAAAACAACCAAAACAAAGTTCAAACCAACGAGCTTCGGAAAAAGATAAACAGAAAAGAAAATGTTAGTTTGATAAATGGACAACAGAGAGATAGATTTGTGGGACATAATTTCATCCATAAGTACTTCTTGTGGCATTTTTTATGAAAAATATTTGTCTTCAAATATCATTAATTATGCTGAGAATAGTTAATTCCATGCATACAACAACTTAACTTCTTGTGGCTTAATCTTAATGCAGGCTTCATCAAACATATATGAACCTCCATATTGGAACTCATTAATTATATGGTACCCCTAACACATCATAATATTAATGCATGCTCCCCTCAAAGATCATCTCTTCAAAAAATCACTTGAATATGAAACTATTTGACCACTCAATTAGATTACTGTTAATTATTATAGTCTTTTCTTGAAGCATTGCGTTCGTATATTTTGTCGATTCCAATTAGATACCTTAATGATTTTCAATTTGCATGATTTTTTATAAGGGTAATCTATGAATGTAAATTTGAAAAATAGACAATTTGAATATTTAAAACAAAATTGATAGGGAATCCTAAAAGGTGTCCCTCAATGGATGGCCAAACTTAATTTGACTAGGCCATGGTGAGTATTACTATCACTCTAATTGCCGTTGGATGAGTGTATTTAATTACTTGTTATACAACTCTAAAAGATTTAACTCATCTAACGGCCATTAATATGGTGGTAATGCTCACCACCAATTAAGAGTGGTGACAACCGAATAAAAAAAGTATATTAAAAAGCAAGAAAAAAAAACAAATGTTATAAATAAAGCCACAAAATAGTACTTGAATTAAAACCTTAGTATTCACCGTAAAATAGAATTATGTTTAAAATAAATAAATAAACCTAGTTTGTAGACACGTATGGTGTTAGATTTTCCACGAATATAAATTTAAGCAAGAAGAATCAAAGAAATTTGACACAAACCGACAAGAAAGGATCGCTTTCGGCACACGAGGACAAGTTCATTGCAAATGTCTATCTATTACGCGTTCAACGCCATTTCAATATATGTATAAAGAATGATTATGGGTCTCATTTTATGAAGCTTCAAACATATATCTAATTTGGGTGATTTTTAAAAACAAAAAAACAAAAGTGATGCTCTTATATTTTCTATTTAGTGGTAAATTTACTGCTGTTAAAACAAAACGATTATCTTTGTATCACTCAGAATTCTGAGTGTCTTTTTCTTCATATGTGTAGCTTCATTTCATTTATTTATTTACAATAAGTAAGATAATGCTAATTAGTTGTTAACAGATACCAACCAGAATGCATGGTGGGACAGGTGATTGAGAAGGCAAACATTCTTTTTCTAGTTATCAAATCGCCATTGTTGTGTTGACCAATTTCCACATATGTGGCCCTGCGTTGACCAGATTAGACTTTGAAGTGAGCTTTCATTTCTTCTTCACATGTTAGGAGATTTTGGGCTACGATCATGGGCCTTGTTGGGCCTGCTATGCTTTGGGGCCCTTCTCTTGTGGGGTTAAAAGCTTTAATTTTAGATTTTTTTTCTCTTTTATTTCATGTAGCTTGTGCATCAAAACACACACACACGCCATCTATTGATTTCTTCACCATTTAGCAAACGGGGTCAACAACTCACCGGATCGGCTCCCACGTAGAATGACTTTTTGAAAAAGTCGAAACTGAAGCCCAGCTTAAGGGGAAGCTGATTTCGGTCTAGTGAAGATTCTGAAATTTCAATTTTGGCCATTGTACTTTCGAAAAATCACGGAAATGCCCCTTTATATACTCTCCGTAAGAAATCTTATTTTTCGAAAATCATTCAAACGCCGCACCGTCCACAAATGTTGCTCCATATGGAATTATGGATGTGGTTGGCTTGCTGTTGGTTTTCGACACCAGCTTCACGTTCTGGGAGTTGTAGACAGCCAGCACAAAGCAAGATGTTAATGCTCCTATGGCTGATGATAATTGTCTGGGATTTTGAACCCTGCCACAATGAGCTGAAAATTTTGACATGAAATTCATGAGTTTTAAATCCGACAATTCTGTTCACTTTTACTTGCTGTAACCCTCTTGCTTCTGTGTATAGCTTGAACTTTTTGGGTTTGCAGATATCTTCTGAGAAGCTCAGGGGTTCTTCATAACTGTTCACAGTAATGCAGATTCAATTAATGTGTAAGTTCTGCAATCACTCAATCTAGATGGAAAAAGTTGTATCACTTTCAAAAGATTAATCTTATGATGGATATTCTTACATTTATGAATATAGTACGCAATGAAATTATGGATGTAGGGTCTGGATTTCTTATGTTTGGGCATGAATTTTTCTTTATTCGATGAAAAGCTGTATGATATCAGAGAGGCAAAGAACCTGTTTTTTTCATTACAGAATATGTGCTTTGTCCCCCTTTCCAAATAGGCTATATATATATATATATTCCCTAGTATTGGCTAACATTGGCTTCTGTCACTGCCTTGTGATCTGAGAGCTTTTCTATCTTTTTTGGGTAATAAAATATGGGGCCACAAGCAAGTACTTGTGTTCGTGAGTGTTTGGGTTTGAGACGTAGACAGAAGTGTCTGTACTAAACTACATAAGGAGGATTTGGGTGTGGGTGGGGCATGCATTTGGCTTTTGGAGTGGTAGATATTCTACTTTCCAAAAGTAACGAGGCAAATGATAGAACATTTTTTGTATTTAGTATGTACAGATTAAGCTGCAAGATTCATACCAGTCAGTATCTTTAATCTGGTTTTATACCAGATAAACCAATACCATGGCATTTCTGCACCTTTCAACTTCATCCCTTCTCTGAAATAGACTCAATATGCTATAGGAAGGGGTTTTTTTTCGGGTTTTAAAAACGAGCAGGGGAATATGCAGAAGGAAGGTTTCAGTTAATAACAATGCATGGTTGAGATATGCGCAGTCAAATATAGGGAATCTTGCAAGTTGTATTAAGAGGATGAATCTGGTTGCTACCTTTCTAACCAAGGAAATATCCTTGGTGTTGTAAGAAATTCCATCAGGGAAGGAAATTGTTACCTTGTAGCTTAATCTGTTTTCACAGATAGATACATATTAGTGATTTGCATATACATCATGCCATACAGACAAAGCAACTATAGCATGGAAAGATTATCAGCACTAGATTCCTAAAGAATTGGATGTAATGTCATTGTAACACGCGACGGTAACATTTGTGCTTAGAACAGTTTGTAAGGACAATTTCATTTCAGGAGATAATGGAAACAATCCTACTGGGCAATATATATATATATATATATATATATATAGAGGATTGATTATCATGCTGAGAAAACAGAACTGAACATGTATCATGTTATCATTATAATACAGGGTACATGCAGTAGTTTGGGGCTTATCATGCTTCCTAGAATCTATAGTGAATCTGGGTTCTCACTGAAATTTTAATGCATTCTTAGGTACCAAACAGAGTGCAATTGTGCAAGTGGCGGGTGGTCAGTTTATATCATAGCAGCATTCATAACAGGATCAACCAATATTAAAAAGATGTCCAAACATAAACAAGGATGCATATCCCGAGCAGCAAGTACATATGCAAAAGGATTGGCTGAAGTCATGGCTCATAACCAAGCTCCTAATACATACTGCAAGTATATATCGAATCATTCTAATTCCGCAAGGGGAAAACCAGGATGATTGTAGTCTCCAAAGTAAAAAGAAAGAAAACAGGATAACTGGGTGATGCTAAGTCTGTTCAGCTGCAGTATCTATAATAGACCGGTCCGTAACCTCACCAACGTGAAGAACTAGTCCAACAGGGTTAGGCTCCACGGCTGTTGAAGTGCTGTCCTCGGTCTCAGGAACAATGCCAGCCTCATCCTGAAGCAAGATTGAAACATTGGTATTCATTTTTCAACAACAAAATAGACCACAAACGTAAGAATTTCATTCTACCTCTATTTTACAAAGTAAATAGTCTCTTTACTATATATAGAGAATTACAAAGAGCGGGCACTCCACATCATAACTCTCCAAAGATAGAAATCGTGCTTTTGGCCACAGTTTACTCAATGCTCTGTGATATCTATGTCATGCTCTGTTACTCGATGCTAAAACATATACATAAACGTAATTATTGACTAAGCATGTAATGTACACATACAACATTCTTATCATTACCCAAGTAAACCCAAATCAACAAATTTCTTACAGAAAAAATATTTACCCAAAAAAGAAAAAAGAAAAAAGAAAAAGGTTTGCTGTAAAAGTAAAACTCCAAATTTATGTACCAAGCTGTCAATTAGGCCTCTAAAGCAAGGTCACGGAACGTTACCGTCAGCCATAGCCTGGCCAGGCCTCCAGCCCGGTGCCGGAGTGGGGAAAAACCTCAGGTGGTGCTGGAGGCATGAAGAAAGTGGAAGGATTTGCGCCTAACCCCATATCTTCCATTACCTTGAACACCTGGAATGGCAGAGTAAGGTAATTCCACATCTTGATGGAGTCCAAGTGTTGGACCCGAGATGCAGGGCTCACCTTTTGCAGGTACTCTTCAGCTTGTTTCTCCTTGCCAGCTTCAAGCAGGTAGCAATGCACAATTTTGATGAAGCGTTTGTTGCTGGCCACCAGAACCTGCGCCACGCAGTCCTTGAGAAGAGCAGAGTCCAGCGGACTGGGGTTAATCCGATGGGCTGAATCGCTTTTATGGACGGCAATTTGTTCTGCAAGGCCCTCTTTCAGGAAAGTGAGTGAGAAGCACTTTTGCAGTATGGGAAGCATTTCTTCTTTGTTGAGGAGAAGCTGTTCCGGGATCAGATGGAGGTTTTTGAAGTGAAGTTCCATTATGCCTGCAAAAACAGAGGCGTCTGGATTCGGAGAGGTCGACATCATTGTTGAATTTTTGTTGGGTTTGGAGTTTGGGGTTTTGGAGAAGGAAGGCGTTGGCGGTGGTGTATTTGTAGAAAGAGTCATATTATTATAATATTTGAAGGATCAACCTTGGTCTCTGTACACGTCTGCGCCCACCTCTGCTCTCTCCCTCCCTTTTTTATATATATTTAAGTAGAATGGCATTTGATGTAGCACCACCAAAAGGAATTCCAGAAAGAAAACAAAAAAGGAATTCCAGGTCAGAATTTTAGTCGAAGCACTTTCATGTCATGACTTTTAGAAAATCATGTCCCTTACCCGATACAACCAATACACAGAGACAGAGATTATTTTTTTTGGTCAACAGAAACAGAGATGTTGGGCATTGGATCAAAATTTCTCCAATTTGAATGGTCAGAAACTTCCCCAAACATATTATGAGCTCTTCAGGCAAACACTGTCGCTATGTGGCAGTTTTATCCAATACAATCAATACACAGAGACAGAGATGTTGGGCATCGGATCAAAAATTCTACAACTTGAATGGTCAGAAACTGCCCCAAACAAATGATTAAACATTTGTACTCTACTGTGGCAGTTTTATGCGAGTGGTTTGAAAATGGAAAAGGGGACACTTCCCAAGTATAAATAGAATTTCAGAAGAAGAATAAATATTTTTTATTGAACGTGTGCCTAAATTAAATGTTAATATTCAATTCTTTAATGTTAAATATTTAATTGGAAATTGCAAGGGGTCATGCGAGCTCGCGACCGCCAAGCCTTGGCTGCATCCGTACGGGCACGTGTGCTCCATCCAACTTTGATGGATGATTTATCAAACGCGCGCAACCGCTAAAATGGTGCGGGTCCCGCGCAGGCCCCCGTTCACACAAAAATCAATCATGAAACAAATACCATAAGCATTAATTTGATTGAATAAAGTGCGGGAGGCCACCCATTGTAATATAAAATTTGCCGATTGAAACTGGACACAACCGTCTTATTCTTCCCAACACACGACAGCTTTAATGTATCTGCACATCGGATAATCAAATTCAGGTCAGCATCCATGCTAACAGCCATTTGTCAAAGTCATCATGATATGGTGATGATGATGATAAGATTCATAAATCTAGTACAACTTTAGAGTGGCAAAATGTACGTAAGCAAATTTAACAACAACCCGATAATATGGACTTATAACTAAGAAGGACATTAAAGTAATTGATTATTTGAGCTAAACATTGTTTTAAAAAATAAAAATAAAAATAAAAAGTTCAGGGGCATTTGGTCTTGTATGGATTCAGTATGATAAATTTACCAAACTACATCAACCACCTATCCAAGTTTCAGTTTGAAAGAAAAATTTGTGACCTAAGGATTCTCAATTAATTTGTGACCAAGAGCATAATAATTATACATTTTCATTAAATTACTTGATTCAATAAAGTGGCCACACACAATATCCAAGCGATTAATGAAATTCAACAAATTTTTTTTACGGGAAAATTCAACAATTTAAATGGTATGAGCTGTACAGGCAAAAAGAATGGATGGAACTTGCAATAATATATCCAATGAAATCCAAGTACATGAAAAAGGATGACCGACTAAATCATGGTTGGCTGTTGATCAGGTTCAGCATAGGGCCATGGATGGATCCCTATGGAATCCGTACCTGAACCAATGAGATGAGAGAGAGCCGAACGAAAACGACCAAAACGAAGTTGAAAGTTGAAACCAACGAACAAGGAAAAGATAAACAGAAAAAGAAAAAGTAATAGTTGATATATAAATGGTAGAGAAAAGATGGTTTTGTGGGACATGATTCCCACTTTGGCCACTCCCTTCTCCAAAAACAATTGGGCTTTCTATTTCTATAATTAATTATGCTGAGAGTAGTTAATTATTTTTTATATGTACTCTTCATAAACAAGAATTCTGCTATTATTATTATTTTAGGCAATAAAAACTGAAGAAACAAACAAACAAACAAGCAAAGCAAGCAAGCATACTACCAACCACCATATGCAATCTCTAGATTCTCTACAAATGTTGTCGTCTTCTTTAAGCATTTCGTCCGTGGAAAATCTCACATTTTTTCCAAGTTGGCACATTATTATACTCAGTGGCGAACCTATTAAGGCATAAGGAGATGCAGCTGCATTTTATTCGCCAGAAAAATCATTGTAGTGCTTCAAATTGCCAATGTCTTTTTCATTTTACTTTATTTAATTTTATATTACTTCACTTACTTAAGTTTACAATGTGAATAACCACCAATTGGATTTAAATAAAAATACTAGAAAATCAAATTCCCGCCAAATCAAAATATGAAAAATCGGTTTTAATGCAAAATACGATTTAGGCTAAAAATGATGGCTCATTAAGTCAATATATACTTCATACTAATCCCATAAAATCAAGTTTTCTTATTTGATGTGTAAGGAATAAAAGCCACCAAAAATTATCTTCAGAAAATGATTATTCCGAAAAACCATTTTTCATACATAGTCAATATTTTACATAAAACAATTTTTCATGTATGATATGTATGCATGAAGGGACCTAAAGTCAATTTAAGTAAAAAGCCTTAGATATTTAATCCACAAAGAGATTTTGCTTTTCAAAATTACACATCCACTAAAAAATCTTAGGTCTAAGTGATGATGCTCTTATATTCATGCTTGCTTTCTCCACCATGTTCTGTATAATAAATAAATAGAATAAAACAAACACTCACTATCAGGAAAAAAAAAACATAAAATATAGGACTAGCTATTTATTTTGTATGGTTGGCGACAAATCAAATTGCATAAACGTTATTTTTTTAATGATGTGAAGAGTGTCCTTTTCTTCACAGAGGAAAGGAGCTAAGCGTTGTTTTCATATTTCATTTTATAAGTAATATAATGCTGATTGATTAGCTGTCAATAAAATATAGCAACTAAAAATGCATGGTGGTGTTGATAAAAGGCAAAGATTCTTCTTGTAGGACTTCAGTTATCAACGGTCCTACCATCACTGCCATTGTAAGTGTTGAAACTGAAACTGGATATATATATATATATATATATATATATATATTTTACATTGGAGGAAAGAAAGAGATCCTATTGGGAGGGATTCGATCTTGGGTGCCGTGAGAGAGGAGGAATTCACCACCACTGTGGTGGGAACCCATTCGCTTGAAACTGGATCTTTGATGGGGTCAAATTAAAGACAAGCTTTTGTAATAGCTTTTTTTTTCTTGCATGTATTTGGTTGTTGACATATAGCCTTTAAATATTGGATTTCTATTCTTCTTCTTTTTTTATTCGTCACTTAATATTTAAAAATAATTCAGCACCATGGTTGATTTGCCAAAAAAGAGAGAGTACAAGCTAAGTGCCTCTCTCACATGGATGATGGAGGAGCTGTAACGCTTCTTTAGTTTATCATCTTTAAACATTCCTAATTAATGAGTATACTACTAGTACCAGTCCACTCAAATTGGACTGGCTGCTTATTTTTGGCTCAAAACCCCTTCAAAAGAAAAGGAAGAAAAAGCTACTGAAAAGTCTTCGACAACTGGTAGAGGGTTGGATTTGTTGGCATGTACGCGAGAGGGCCTTCTTTGCATCGAATCTCTACACGTGTCGCCCCCAAATTCCTTTTTGGCCAGTTGTCAAACGCAGGCCACCACTGATGATAATTAGTTCGCACTCAAAATGGATTTTATGCAATCCAATCCAACTTCAGATTTCCGTAGTCCCTTCAAAAGAAAAGGACGAACAAGCCACTGAAAAATGGATGTTATCACTCTCAGGCGACAGCTCAGGCTGTTTTTGCCTTTGAGCCTGCCCAGTCTTGTAGAGCCCACATATGCCGGGGCTGGAGTGTAGCGTTGAAAGTGCTCTAAAGGGATGGATTTGTTGTATGTAAGGCATTTACGATGGGAGGGTCTTCTTTGCATCGAATCACTACACGTGTCTTCCCCAAATCCCTTTTTGGCCAGTTGTCAAACGTTGGCCACCAATGATGATAATTGGTTCGCACTCAAATTATCATAGATGATCATATCCCTAATTCACAAGCTGGATTGCATTTATAAATAGAAAATCACAAGGTGGACTTGACTTTAGTTTCTCCTTCGGAAAGGATTTATCCATAATGTTCATGAACAGTGCTTATGAAGTGGCTAAATAATCTTATTACTACATATATTCAATTTGAACAATTATAAGTGACCCAATTTTAAGTGTGATTTTTATTACCTTGTACCGAATATATACCTAAAATTGTTTGCAGAAGAAATTAATTTGTTGGGGCTTGAATCTTAAAGAATTAAGCACCATGGTTGGTTTATTTAGGAGACATTGAGATGAGGAGAGAGACTAAGCATAATTCAATGCAGATTGCGTATAAGACGACATTGACAGATATTTTTGGACATGTGTTTGATAGGATCCCAAGGGTGTTTTAGTCTTTTTGTAATTTAGCAAATTTTAGGAGGTTAGTCGGTATTAGTCAAACGTTGAATTGTATTGTGTTTTGAGTTAAGGTTGAAGGGGTTCTATCGGTGTTGCACCAATAATAATAATAATAGGAAATTTTCCCATTTATATTGGACGCAACCGTTTCTCACTCTTTTTCACTACCAACAGCTCTAATCTAACAGTGATGATAACTGCAACAGCCAAATCAACCCAAAGCAACTATAACAACCAAACAAAGTTATAATCAGGAGAACGATTGTATACATAATCATCCATCTCACCTAAGATTTTCTCCTGCATCCATTAATTCAGATTCAGACCAGCAGCAAATTTATGAAATTCCTAAAATCATAAATACAGAAATTCCACACGGAATTCCAAACTTGCAGCAAAAGCAGAGCAAGTTATTCACACAAAAACATTCTAGTTTAAAATAAATAAAACATAAAAGTACAAAAAGGGGATCTCGGTATTCGCGAACAGTCTCAAGAGTCAGAGTCCCCTGCTTCAGGAATTTGGTGATTTGGCCTCATCCATACCAAAAACTCCACAGTACCGGGCCTTCTTGGCGCCCTTCCTGCCTTTTTCAGGAATTGGAAGCAGCTCCTGCGGCGGCGGGAAACTCAAGGTCGTCGAAGCGCATTGGGGTCTCCACGAGACCTTTCGCTATGAGCGCGTTCTGAATTTCGGCTTCCAGGGTGAGAATATTCCAGATCCGAATCGAATCCAGGTTTCCGATTTCGGCTTCACTTTTGGTACTCAGAATCTTCCTGTACTCCGCTACCTCCTCCTCACTCCCGTGCTCACCCAGGTACCGAACCACATAATCAGTCAGCCGGGAGATGTTCTGGCTCTTGATTACTCCGACGAACTCCTTCGCCGGGGCCGTCTCATCAGGCGGCGAGACATTGAGATCCGGGATGTAACTGGGTGCTCCACCGTCGCCGGCAGCGGCTCCGTTTTCGAGAAAACAGAATTGGTGGTGGCTGGTGCTGCTGTTTAAGGCCAAATTCAGGCGGAATTGGATAATTGCAGCGGTGGCGTCTTCTGGAGTGCGCCAAGTGAGGAGAGGGATGCGAGAGGAACAAATGGAAAGAAAAAGGTACACTCAAACTCAAGTAGTAAAAGAAAAATAAAAGATACTAGCCTCTCCACATGCGCTTCCGCGCATGCGAGAGGCTTCTTTTATTTTTATTTTAAATTTGTTTTAGAATTAAAAAAGATAATGGATAGTTGTGTTCCATAAAAATATGATCCATTATCTGATTTGTCTTTTAATTTTAATTTTTTTTAATATGAAAAAGTGTGAATTTACCATATTATCCTCATTTAATTAATCATTTCAATTCTTAATGTTTGCATTAACCAAGGGCATTTTTGGTGTTTTGAATGTTTCACCATTCTCTGCCTTTTGCTTTATATATATAGATTTACCTCATATTCCACTCACGGTGCCAAATCTTTTTAATTTTCCTTTTTTTTTTTAAATATTAAAAGCGATAGTAATTTTATTGGTTTGATCTATAGAGAATTACGCATGCCAGAAAAACCTAAAACTTCTAATTCGACAGACAAAAGCATATGTACTCAGACCTTCAATATAGATTCGCCGCGCAACGGCAGTAACGGTAAATCCGCATCGAAAAGTCAAACACAAAATACAAACATTAGAAAACTCCTATTGAGTTTATGAGAATTATTAGACAAAAATAAACACAGAAACAAGGACACCGCACCACATCCTTTCCAGCAAAATCAATGTAAGTGGACCAAAAGCTGCTGTTTGTGCCTAATAAATCACGGTCATAAACTGCTGTTTGTGCTTCACTGTCGCCGGCAGCGGCTTCGTTTTCTAGAAAACAGAATTGGTGGTGGCTGGTGCTGCTGTTTAAGGCCAAATTCAGGCGGAATTGGATAATTGCAGCGGTGGCGTCTTCTGGAGTGCGCCAAGTGAGGAGAGGGATGTGAGTCAAGAAGACCCTTTCCGGGCACAAACTACTACTTGTCCAGGTTCCGTCGACAGTTGCCGAGTAGAGTCTCAGTGGCCTGAGACCGCCTATGTTCTGTACGGCTTGGATCGCAATCAGACGGATTTCTTCAAGATGGACATGGACAAAATTGGCACGAGAGTTGGGGCTCATTTTGAAGGTTTTTTTTTTAGGAAAGTGGAGAGTCAAGCTTAAGATGGTGAAGTGAGAGAGAGAGTTGAAGTTGAAGTTGATTTTTCAGTTGCTCTTGTTTTATAGGCAACAGCAGATGGGGTGTGGTGCCAAGCTCCGTTGCTTAGCTACGGCTCCAAGGCTCCTCCATGCCTAGCTGGGCTTAGAAAAACGGTGGTCGGAAAAGTCAATAATACGAATTTCTTTAATTTCGTCGGCTTGTTTGCTTCTTTCTTTATCTTCTAATTTTGCCCTTTTTCTGTTTTTCTTGTATAATTTTATGATATAAGGCCTTTGTTTAAATTTTGGACATTCCAGAACATAAATAATATAAGGCCTCTGTTTAATTTATGTCTTCATCTAGAAGTTCCACTAATTGCTTGACTGACTGCATGAATACATCATCCGATCTCCGTCACTGTCGTCCATGTGTATACATCGCACATGCCCTTCTTTTGTTTTTTCCTTCCTAAGTTCGGGAAGAGCTCCACTTTCCATTATTACTCGTTATCTAAATAATATTTAGTGTTATTTGAGGCATGTGGGTTTTAGCGGCATAATCTTAAGGAGATGGTCAGCGTTCTAACAGGTTCTTTCTTCTGCTTACAGCTGAGAATGTAAGACTTCTTAAGTAGACCGACGACCAAATGCCCATTAGATGTACAGGAACTCATCTAATCCCTAAAGTTGGAACCCAATTTTTATACTTGTTTCAACCTATACATCAATAGAACACTATTGCCCTTGATTAAAAAGAAAAATGAAAAATAAAGAGGTTACATATTCAAACAAGAAATTAAATCACAAGAGTAAAAATAATGTAGTATATATGTCGGCTGACCCACGGCTGACCAATTGTGTTAAAATGGCTCATGAAATCCAAGACTCACGGCTGACCAAACTTAATTTGAATAGAACCTCGTCAGCAATTGGGTCTAAAGTTTAGTCAAATAACAAGAATTGTTTTATGAAGCTCAAATGAAATTCAATGTATAATCAAATAACAGGAATTTAGTTGATACTATTTGTAAGATCATTAAATTAATTTAGTCACCAAAAATCATTTACATTTATTTACTCTCCAGAGATAAGATTTACCTAGCAATGTTTGAGCAACTGGGCCGTTGGTACACCACTCAATGCGTATTAATATTATAAAGTTGGTAATAATGCATAATGTTCGAGTTTAATGACATGTTAATTATTTTTCAAACACAAAGTATGATATACAAAATCTATTAGCTATAAGTTCTAAATTCATTTGGGATTTACCTAGTCATGGGTCTAAGCAGAAAGAGACACAGACAGAGATCACGTTGGCTCTTGGAATGTAGTTAGATACCCCAAACTCTAAACTATGTATTGAAATAACATACAATATTGGGTTAGAAAACTTAAACCTCACTTTAAAACTGGGTTAGAAATCATTTGACAGAAGATTATGGAAAAGAGTAGTTTATATACAGCTAGCCGCAAAGAAAAATTTGCACCGACCTGGGACCACACATGGACACATCATCTCTCATATTGCCCTTATCCACCAAACCGTATATTTGAAGGGGTCAAGTTCAACTAAATGAATAAAAAGACGAAAGCTAATTACTTAAGTTTCCAATGATTAAGGGCTCGTTTGGGAGTGTTTTTGGAGTAGCGAAAAGTGCTTCTAAATGGGTGAAAGCGCTTATGTCTTTTAAAAATGGTGTTTGGCAAAAATTGCAAAAGCGCTTTGGGTGAGATCCAAAAGCACTTGGAGTGGTTTTAGAAGAAGCACTTGATAGGTGCTTCTTCTTAAAAGCGCTGCAGGACAAAAACACGGGAAGCACTTGACTCCCCATAATGAAACTTTTAAAATACCAAAAATACCCATATTTTATTTTTTTAATGCCAAAATACCCTTGTTCTATTTTTTATCTCTGTCTCCTATTAAAACCAAAACTACCCGCGAAATATCAGACGCCAAAACACCCAACCCTAAGCTTCTACCCGCGAAATATCAAACACCAAAATATCAGACGCCATCTCTCTCACACAATCTGCTCTGGCAGGCAACAAAGCTTCAGCCTCAGCACCCTTCAGCAACACCCTTCTTCTTCTTCTGCCTTCACATCCACAAAGTCACAACACACACCAACTCTTTAGATTTTTGGGACTTCATACTTCAGGGGAATTCCCGCCCTCGGTACTGCGAATAGGTTTTCCTTCGGCACCCCCATAGGCATCCTAGTGTTGCTTGGGTACACTACCGATACCCTGGGCCCAGTTACTAAATCAATAGGCAGGGGATTTGAAGTCTTGCCCTATTCACATATTACCGAGGGCACCGAACAAGATTACCGATCCCCTGCCTATTGATCTGCATTACCCTCTCCACTTGCTGAATCTCGGCCTGCGTTGCGATCGGCTGCTTCAGCTTACCTACAAGAAGAAGAGAAAGGAAGGATCACTTACGGTAAACAGAGAACCCAGAGAAGGTACCGAATGGCACGTGGTCCTACCGGCCATTTGGAAGGTTGTGGGAATGCGAAATCGGACAGGCTGTCCCGAAGGCGACTCCCAGTCGCCCGAGAGGAGCACCCGCCGATTCCTTCACGACTTCTGTGACGTCGGTACCCAGCTGACAAAGTGGCCTCGATCGGCAGCCCTGAGGCAGTTCGCCTGCACCCATCCGCCGTGATCGGCACACTTGGACTTGGTAACGCTGTAGAGATGGGAGAACTGCTCATAGGGGGGGCTCCCTTCCCAGCCATGCCGAAGGCCGTTATCACTCCCATGAGGGCCACCCAGAAGTTGGGGTTGAATTGCCCCAGGGCGTAGCCGATCTGGGCTAGAATCCTCTGTACCGCCGGCTGCAACGGCAACCGAACGCCTTGCACAAGGACGTCGGTAAAGAAAACTACTTCGCCGTCCTTCGGCGCACTAAGGGATTCGGTAGGGCCCGGGATCCTCATCCGTATCGAGTCGGGAATGCGGTATTCTGCTCGAAATTTGGCAATCTCCCGATCGGTAATCTTGTTCGGCCCAAGATAGTCTACGCCGAATAGGTTTTCCTTCGGCACCCCCATAGGCATCCTAGGGTTGCTTGGGTACACTACCGATACCTTGGGCCCAGATGGCGGTTTGGCTACCTACTCTCCACGGCCGGAAGTGGAGGTCTCCGACTGACGGCTACCGCTCGCCTCCCCGGGCATACCGAGGCCCACGTGGCGGCCGTCACTGTAGACGATGGACAACGGGACGGGAGCGGTCATTAGCCCCTTTCCTAAAATATCCAACGCAAAAAGTTAACAGACGCCGGTGGTTAAGAGAGACCTGTTTATTAACAACCAAGAAACAACCAACCGCTTTCGACAGTTCAAAAACTTTTATCTAGTCCAAAATGGGGTGGATAAATTGGACAATATATCTAGTCTTAGTCTCCTAGATGTGCATCTTTCCACATTCACGCCACACTGCCCTAACCATATAGTCAACTCCAAGTCTCCCTGCTCTCTCCTTTTCTGGATCACCAAACAGAAAACCATGTCGACTTCTGGCAAAACCCACATCCTGGTGTTCCCCTACCTTGCGCAAGGGCACATGCTCCCAATTTTAGACCTAACCCACCAGCTAGCCCTCCACGGCCTCTCCATAACCATCTTGGTCACCCCCAAAAACCTCCCAACCTGGGCACCGAACAAGATTACTTTTGTGCGAAATCAATAGTACCGAACTGGGCTAAATTTAGTAACCTTGTAAGTTCGGTACCAACTCTTTTTGAGGGTGTGCGAAATCAATAGGCAGGCCGAGTTAAACAGCTTCATTCCACTTTGTCAGCTGGGTACCAACTCTTTAATATGTGCTTTACTTTTGTGTGGGCTGGATGGGAAGGTGCTGCTCACGATGCACGAATATTCATGGAAGCCTTAAGAAGACCAATTTTAAAGTTTCCTCATCCACCTACAGGTAACTAAATACATATATTTTTTCTCCAATTCAAATTTGTTTTAATTTGTGATATAGTAAATAATGCTCATGTTGTTCTTTGTTGTTATAGGTAAATATTATCTAGTGGATGCAGGCTATCCACAAATCAAAGGATATTTAGGGCCATATAGGGGTGAGCGATATCATCTTCCTGATTTTCGACGTGGAAGTCAACCAAGAGGGAAGAAAGAAATATTTAACCACAGGCATTCTTCCCTAAGATGCACAATCGAAAGAACTTTTGGTGTTTGGAAAAATCGTTGGAGAATGATAAGACAAATGCATAACTTTCCTATGGAAAAACAAATACAAATAGTTGTTGCTTCAATGGCTCTTCACAACTTTATAAGATGTCATTCCATGACAGATCAAGAATTCCAACCGTATGATGATGATGATGAGCTACTTCCCTCTGGCGGGGCGGGAGTTACTATAGGGGAAGAGATGGTTGAAGAACAAAATCTAACCCATGGGCATGAGATGGCTGACGAACGTGAGAGAATTGCAAATCTTCTTATGTCTGGTTAATTCTTTTTTCATTTTCAAAAAATGATTAAAAATTATACTTGGTGAAGTTCATACTTTTTTAAGTCGTGTTTTTATTTTGAGATCCTGTGAATTTTTATTTCCTATATTTATTATAATATTTTGGGATTCTTTAAATTTTTGTAAAGTGCTTTTAAAAGCGCTTTTACTGTGTCAACCAAACACTCAACAAAATATCAAAAACGCTTTTATGTAGTGTAAAAGCACTTTTAAATGTGACATTCAAACAACAAACTGCTTCTTTGTAGAAGCGCTTATGTCATAAGCGCTACTGGCATAAGTGCTTCGGAAAGAAGCACTCCCAAACGAGCCCTAATTAGCATTAAGTTAATTACTTAATTGATCATTTTCAGTGGGGTTTGTTCAAAAGCTTCAAACAAATTGTCAGTCATCATGTGCGCTATACTAATTGTATTGTAACTTAGCCGTCATGTGATACATAAATTTGAGATTTTAATTTCAAAGTTTATACCATAACTTAACAGAACAAGTATATCACATTTACCAGCATTCGAAAATTTTGTGTGAAAACTGAAAAAGAGGTACTGGAAAAAAAAACTTTTACCACAATTTTTGTAGAGGGCATGTAGTGGAGAAGAAGAAGATACCCTTGGATTGGATTGGATCCTGGAGGGCATGATTTGCAGCCAAACCTCTAAAGTTTCACCCCCCAATCCAATTTGGCCATTTGTCAAAGCATGCAACGATGAATGGGATGGGATCCCACTCAGGCTTGTTCACACGCGAAAAATAGATTCACGTTAAATTATCATAGATATACTTAGCTAGAATTATAAAATTATGAGAGGTGAAGTAGAATATAAGAATATAAAACACATAAGAGTTCAATAATTACACGTTTAGAGCTAAATATTTATAATTTAGTCATGTCTAATTTGTTTTAGAGGAAATTATAACTTAAATTATAAGTTGTTTATTACAAATTCTATATATTTTATATAATATATGACAAGACTCGACCCAAATTCCACTTTGAAATCTGAGCCGAACCATGTGCGTGTCCGACCCTTGGTGGGTGCCGGACACAAATGACCGAATTGCCCTTCTAACTAAAACCAAATTTATTTTAGGTTTGACTTCTGCCGAAAATCCGGCAGAGTCTTCACTGTAAATTGCTCATTTTCCAAAATTTCCACATGTCAACAAAGCATTTATATATATATATATATATATATCCCAATCGTTCAGTATGCATTAAATTTCATTTAGAAAATCCAACCATAACTAAACGGCCGCATGCCATACATAATTTCTAGGGCAATATCAGAGCAGCTAATTCAAAATTTACCATAAAACAGTATAAATAGAAAAGAAATCCTACATAGTGGGAAGATAAGGAAGGGTGACGATGAATGCCCGGCAGCCCGGTGGTGGTGCTCTAGTTCACGCCTACTGTCTGGGGGTGCAAAACATTTGAAAATGTGCGTGGACAAAAATAAAATTTTAGAAAATAGAATATGAACATACTAACCCCACTGTTAAAACCATTTAGAAAATTCAATTATATTCTTCTTATGTTATCGTACAAGAATTCCTAAAACATGCATATTTACTTATATATATATTATTAATCAAGCATTTATTCAAAACATTGGGACTTTTAGAAAACATTTTAAAGAAATAAATATTTTTCCACCTAAGTGTACCCATTATATACATATAACCGTCAATTCCACGAACTTATATTTAATTCCCTTATTTTCGTCAATTCCTTGTTTCACGTAGTGTGATACATTTTCGCATGCCTCGATAACACAAAGTCAACCCGAGCCGCAATCCTTGCAGGATTCAAGGGACATTTAATTCACCTTATTCGCATTTCTCGCTCCGCACGGTCCGGATATCCCTAAGACTCATGGGGCACTATCAAACGTTCTGACGTAATCGAAGGCAACAATATTTCCAAAGGCAACATCATAACCAAGGGAACATATATCCAAAGGCAACCTGGGTACCTATGGTGGGTTTTAAATAAAAACATTTACTGATAAATTATAAAACTATTTATCATCCATTCTTAAATCCTGTTGCCATTATTCTTCCTACTTTCCAAGCCATCCTCATTTTAAATATAACAGAAATTATATAACTAAAAATATTTGAATTTAAATACTTATGCTTGGAAAGCAATAGTCATTAATACTTATTCCATATCAAATAATGAATAATGAAATTTTTATGGCATAAAATCAGTTATAAAACAAAGTCCACGCATTGAGCGTTCGAAGTAGCTTGACCCTTTGAGGATCTCTCCTGCGGGTCAGATGGTGCCCGAGTACCTATTTAAACCATTAAAAGTATTTAATTAATAAAATTGCTCAAAAAAGATTATTTAATCTAAAACCCTGACCCCCGGCTTCTAAAAGTGCGTGCACTTGGTTTAAGACCATTTCTATGCCCACTTACACATTCCGGATGGTTAGAACGATCTGAAAAGACCCGAGACTCGATAAACAATAAATTTCCATATTGCTCAACCCAGGAGTCCACAACCTCCAATTATCAATCCAAGAGTTCCTATAAGTTCCACACATTTTAATAGCTCTACCCTACAGGTTTGGTCCGAATCGAATGGTCGGATTAATCACGATCGCTCGATCGGACGGTTATCGTTTAATTAAACTTCGAATCATTGAATCGGAATATCCGGGACTCCAATTCACGATCCGTGAAATCCTACACGATCTTAGGAGTGCCTAGATTAACATATATTAAATTGGAAGTGATCCAACAGTTCAAACGTATTGAACACGGATAACACACAATAGGTGAAATCTGCTCGAGGTTCAAATGATATCCGAATTGTAGTAATATACCATATTATCGTCATGCATGCTAAACATTTTTTTTAATCTTACATCCAATGAAATCCAAGTACAGGAAAAAGGATGACTAGGACATGATTGAGAGCCGAAGACAAGCAAGAACGCACCAATGAGATGAGAGGGTTGAGAGCCGAAAACAACCAAAACAAAGTTCAAACCAACGAGCTTCGGAAAAAGATAAACAGAAAAGAAAATGTTAGCTTCGGAAGAGATACATTTGTGGGACATAATTTCATCCATAAGTACTTCTTGTGGCATTTTTTATGAAAAATATTTGTCTTCAAATATCATTAATTATGCTGAGAATAGTTAATTCCATGCATACAACAACTTAACTTCTTGTGGCTTAATCTTAATGCAGGCTTCATCAAACATATATGAACCTCCATATTGGAACTCATTAATTATATGGTACCCCTAACACATCATAATATTAATGCATGCTCCCCTCAAAGATCATCTCTTCAAAAAATCACTTGAATATGAAACTATTTGACCACTCAATTATTACTATTAATTATTATAGTCTTTTCTTGAAGCATTGCGTTCGTATATTTTGTCGATTCCAATTAGATACCTTAATGATTTTCAATTTGCATGATTTTTTATAAGGGTAATCTATGAATGTAAATTTGAAAAATAGACAATTTGAATATTTAAAACAAAATTGATAGGGAATCCTAAAAGGTGTCCCTCAATGGATGGCCAAACTTAATTTGACTAGGCCATGGTGAGTATTACTATCACTCTAATTGCTGTTGGATGAGTGTGATTTAATTTACTTGTTATACAACTCTAAAAGATTTAACTCATCTAACGGCCATTAATATGGTGGTAATGCTCACCACCAATTAAGAGTGGTGACAACCGAATAAAAAAAGTATATTAAAAAGCAAGAAAAAAAAACAAATGTTATAAATAAAGCCACAAAATAGTACTTGAATTAAAACCTTAGTATTCACCGTAAAATAGAATTATGTTTAAAATAAATAAATAAACCTAGTTTGTAGACACGTATGGTGTTAGATTTTCCACGAATATAAATTTAAGCAAGAAGAATCAAAGAAATTTGACACAAACCGACAAGAAAGGATCGCTTTCGGCACACGAGGACAAGTTCATTGCAAATGTCTATCTATTACGCGTTCAACGCCATTTCAATATATGTATAAAGAATGATTATGGGTCTCATTTTATGAAGCTTCAAACATATATCTAATTTGGGTGATTTTTAAAAACAAAAAAACAAAAGTGATGCTCTTATATTTTCTATTTAGTGGTAAATTTACTGCTGTTAAAACAAAACGATTATCTTTGTATCACTCAGAATTCTGAGTGTCTTTTTCTTCATATGTGTAGCTTCATTTCATTATTTATTTACAATAAGTAAGATAATGCTAATTAGTTGTTAACAGATACCAACCAGAATGCATGGTGGGACAGGTGATTGAGAAGGCAAACATTCTTTTTCTAGTTATCAAATCGCCATTGTTGTGTTGACCAATTTCCACATATGTGGCCCTGCGTTGACCAGATTAGACTTTGAAGTGAGCTTTCATTTCTTCTTCACATGTTAGGAGATTTTGGGCTACGATCATGGGCCTTGTTGGGCCTGCTATGCTTTGGGGCCCTTCTCTTGTGGGGTTAAAAGCTTTAATTTTAGATTTTTTTTCTCTTTTATTTCATGTAGCTTGTGCATCAAAACACACACACACGCCATCTATTGATTTCTTCACCATTTAGCAAACGGGGTCAACAACTCACCGGATCGGCTCCCACGTAGAATGACTTTTTGAAAAAGTCGAAACTGAAGCCCAGCTTAAGGGGAAGCTGATTTCGGTCTAGTGAAGATTCTGAAATTTCAATTTTGGCCATTGTACTTTCGAAAAATCACGGAAATGCCCCTTTATATACTCTCCGTAAGAAATCTTATTTTTCGAAAATCATTCAAACGCCGCACCGTCCACAAATGTTGCTCCATATGGAATTATGGATGTGGTTGGCTTGCTGTTGGTTTTCGACACCAGCTTCACGTTCTGGGAGTTGTAGACAGCCAGCACAAAGCAAGATGTTAATGCTCCTATGGCTGATGATAATTGTCTGGGATTTTGAACCCTGCCACAATGAGCTGAAAATTTTGACATGAAATTCATGAGTTTTAAATCCGACAATTCTGTTCACTTTTACTTGCTGTAACCCTCTTGCTTCTGTGTATAGCTTGAACTTTTTGGGTTTGCAGATATCTTCTGAGAAGCTCAGGGGTTCTTCATAACTGTTCACAGTAATGCAGATTCAATTAATGTGTAAGTTCTGCAATCACTCAATCTAGATGGAAAAAGTTGTATCACTTTCAAAAGATTAATCTTATGATGGATATTCTTACATTTATGAATATAGTACGCAATGAAATTATGGATGTAGGGTCTGGATTTCTTATGTTTGGGCATGAATTTTTCTTTATTCGATGAAAAGCTGTATGATATCAGAGAGGCAAAGAACCTGTTTTTTTCATTACAGAATATGTGCTTTGTCCCCCTTTCCAAATAGGCTATATATATATATATATTCCCTAGTATTGGCTAACATTGGCTTCTGTCACTGCCTTGTGATCTGAGAGCTTTTCTATCTTTTTGGGTAATAAAATATGGGGCCACAAGCAAGTACTTGTGTTCGTGAGTGTTTGGGTTTGAGACGTAGACAGAAGTGTCTGTACTAAACTACATAAGGAGGATTTGGGTGTGGGTGGGGCATGCATTTGGCTTTTGGAGTGGTAGATATTCTACTTTCCAAAAGTAACGAGGCAAATGATAGAACATTTTTTGTATTTAGTATGTACAGATTAAGCTGCAAGATTCATACCAGTCAGTATCTTTAATCTGGTTTTATACCAGATAAACCAATACCATGGCATTTCTGCACCTTTCAACTTCATCCCTTCTCTGAAATAGACTCAATATGCTATAGGAAGGGGTTTTTTTTCGGGTTTTAAAAACGAGCAGGGGAATATGCAGAAGGAAGGTTTCAGTTAATAACAATGCATGGTTGAGATATGCGCAGTCAAATATAGGGAATCTTGCAAGTTGTATTAAGAGGATGAATCTGGTTGCTACCTTTCTAACCAAGGAAATATCCTTGGTGTTGTAAGAAATTCCATCAGGGAAGGAAATTGTTACCTTGTAGCTTAATCTGTTTTCACAGATAGATACATATTAGTGATTTGCATATACATCATGCCATACAGACAAAGCAACTATAGCATGGAAAGATTATCAGCACTAGATTCCTAAAGAATTGGATGTAATGTCATTGTAACACGCGACGGTAACATTTGTGCTTAGAACAGTTTGTAAGGACAATTTCATTTCAGGAGATAATGGAAACAATCCTACTGGGCAATATATATATATATATATATATATATAGAGGATTGATTATCATGCTGAGAAAACAGAACTGAACATGTATCATGTTATCATTATAATACAGGGTACATGCAGTAGTTTGGGGCTTATCATGCTTCCTAGAATCTATAGTGAATCTGGGTTCTCACTGAAATTTTAATGCATTCTTAGGTACCAAACAGAGTGCAATTGTGCAAGTGGCGGGTGGTCAGTTTATATCATAGCAGCATTCATAACAGGATCAACCAATATTAAAAAGATGTCCAAACATAAACAAGGATGCATATCCCGAGCAGCAAGTACATATGCAAAAGGATTGGCTGAAGTCATGGCTCATAACCAAGCTCCTAATACATACTGCAAGTATATATCGAATCATTCTTATTCCGCAAGGGGAAAACCAGGATGATTGTAGTCTCCAAAGTAAAAAAGAAAGAAAACAGGATAACTGGGTGATGCTAAGTCTGTTCAGCTGCAGTATCTATAATAGACCGGTCCGTAACCTCACCAACGTGAAGAACTAGTCCAACAGGGTTAGGCTCCACGGCTGTTGAAGTGCTGTCCTCGGTCTCAGGAACAATGCCAGCCTCATCCTGAAGCAAGATTGAAACATTGGTATTCATTTTTCAACAACAAAATAGACCACAAACGTAAGAATTTCATTCTACCTCTATTTTACAAAGTAAATAGTCTCTTTACTATATATAGAGAATTACAAAGAGCGGGCACTCCACATCATAACTCTCCAAAGATAGAAATCGTGCTTTTGGCCACAGTTTACTCAATGCTCTGTGATATCTATGTCATGCTCTGTTACTCGATGCTAAAACATATACATAAACGTAATTATTGACTAAGCATGTAATGTACACATACAACATTCTTATCATTACCCAAGTAAACCCAAATCAACAAATTTCTTACAGAAAAAATATTTACCCAAAAAAGAAAAAAGAAAAAGAAAAAGGTTTGCTGTAAAAGTAAAACTCCAAATTTATGTACCAAGCTGTCAATTAGGCCTCTAAAGCAAGGTCACGGAACGTTACCGTCAGCCATAGCCTGGCCAGGCCTCCAGCCCGGTGCCGGAGTGGGAAAAACCTCAGGTGGTGCTGGAGGCATGAAGAAAGTGGAAGGATTTGCGCCTAACCCCATATCTTCCATTACCTTGAACACCTGGAATGGCAGAGTAAGGTAATTCCACATCTTGATGGAGTCCAAGTGTTGGACCCGAGATGCAGGGCTCACCTTTTGCAGGTACTCTTCAGCTTGTTTCTCCTTGCCAGCTTCAAGCAGGTAGCAATGCACAATTTTGATGAAGCGTTTGTTGCTGGCCACCAGAACCTGCGCCACGCAGTCCTTGAGAAGAGCAGAGTCCAGCGGACTGGGGTTAATCCGATGGGCTGAATCGCTTTTATGGACGGCAATTTGTTCTGCAAGGCCCTCTTTCAGGAAAGTGAGTGAGAAGCACTTTTGCAGTATGGGAAGCATTTCTTCTTTGTTGAGGAGAAGCTGTTCCGGGATCAGATGGAGGTTTTTGAAGTGAAGTTCCATTATGCCTGCAAAAACAGAGGCGTCTGGATTCGGAGAGGTCGACATCATTGTTGAATTTTTGTTGGGTTTGGAGTTTGGGGTTTTGGAGAAGGAAGGCGTTGGCGGTGGTGTATTTGTAGAAAGAGTCATATTATTATAATATTTGAAGGATCAACCTTGGTCTCTGTACACGTCTGCGCCCACCTCTGCTCTCTCCCTCCCTTTTTTATATATATTTAAGTAGAATGGCATTTGATGTAGCACCACCAAAAGGAATTCCAGAAAGAAAACAAAAAAGGAATTCCAGGTCAGAATTTTAGTCGAAGCACTTTCATGTCATGACTTTTAGAAAATCATGTCCCTTACCCGATACAACCAATACACAGAGACAGAGATTATTTTTTTTGGTCAACAGAAACAGAGATGTTGGGCATTGGATCAAAATTTCTCCAATTTGAATGGTCAGAAACTTCCCCAAACATATTATGAGCTCTTCAGGCAAACACTGTCGCTATGTGGCAGTTTTATCCAATACAATCAATACACAGAGACAGAGATGTTGGGCATCGGATCAAAAATTCTACAACTTGAATGGTCAGAAACTGCCCCAAACAAATGATTAAACATTTGTACTCTACTGTGGCAGTTTTATGCGAGTGGTTTGAAAATGGAAAAGGGGACACTTCCCAAGTATAAATAGAATTTCAGAAGAAGAATAAATATTTTTTATTGAACGTGTGCCTAAATTAAATGTTAATATTCAATTCTTTAATGTTAAATATTTAATTGGAAATTGCAAGGGGTCATGCGAGCTCGCGACCGCCAAGCCTTGGCTGCATCCGTACGGGCACGTGTGCTCCATCCAACTTTGATGGATGATTTATCAAACGCGCGCAACCGCTAAAATGGTGCGGGTCCCGCGCAGGCCCCCGTTCACACAAAAATCAATCATGAAACAAATACCATAAGCATTAATTTGATTGAATAAAGTGCGGGAGGCCACCCATTGTAATATAAAATTTGCCGATTGAAACTGGACACAACCGTCTTATTCTTCCCAACACACGACAGCTTTAATGTATCTGCACATCGGATAATCAAATTCAGGTCAGCATCCATGCTAACAGCCATTTGTCAAAGTCATCATGATATGGTGATGATGATGATAAGATTCATAAATCTAGTACAACTTTAGAGTGGCAAAATGTACGTAAGCAAATTTAACAACAACCCGATAATATGGACTTATAACTAAGAAGGACATTAAAGTAATTGATTATTTGAGCTAAACATTGTTTTAAAAAATAAAAATAAAAATAAAAAGTTCAGGGGCATTTGGTCTTGTATGGATTCAGTATGATAAATTTACCAAACTACATCAACCACCTATCCAAGTTTCAGTTTGAAAGAAAAATTTGTGACCTAAGGATTCTCAATTAATTTGTGACCAAGAGCATAATAATTATACATTTTCATTAAATTACTTGATTCAATAAAGTGGCCACACACAATATCCAAGCCCAATTACAAATTACAAATTACAATACATATGGATGGAAACAAACCCTCACTCCCTTCTACACAAACCTTTCTACAAACAAACCCAGCAAAAGCAAAGCAACAAAACAAACACACAAGTTTCACACACAAAAAGCCTTCCACTATAAAACCTATAAAAATGACACAATCAAAAGGCGCCTTTTCGGAGGATTGATTCAGTATGATGAGTCAATCAGAGGACACGCCCTCCTCCTCTGCTTCATCAATAGGCGCCTTGTCCCGAGCCTGGGCTTTAGCCTCATCGATCCAAAGAACCCCGCCGACGCCGTGGCTGGGCTTCTTCATCGGCAGATCATAGGGACAACATGGGTCGTCCTCGTCCACACCACCAACAGCCACCGCCTTCCGCTTTGCCACGTTGCTCTGCTTCTCATAACCAACACCATAATTGCGACCATCCGACTGAAAACAGAGAAAACAGATATTCAATGCAATCAAGTTGAAGTTACCCATCTACTAATCACTAAATAATACCATAGTTTCGTCGTTGCCGTTAAAATTGGCACCGGTGCCGGCGGCAGCAGCAATGACTTGACAATGACTATGAGCATGGTTAAGTGCGGCCGTCCAGCCTTGTTGTGGAATGGGAAACAGCTGTTGCAGCGCCGGGAATTGAACATCATCGGATCCGATTGGGGCCTCAACGAGGCCTTTCGCGACGAGCGCCTTCTGAATTTCGGTTCTCAGTGTGAGAATATTCCAGACACGAATCGAATCAAGGTTTCCGATTTCGGCTTCACTTTTGCTGTTCAGAATCTTCTTGTACACCGCCACCTCATCATCACTCCCGTACTCGCCCAGGTACCACACCACGTAATCAATGAACCGGGAGATGTTCTGGCTCTTTATTTCTCCGACGAATTCCGTCGCCGGCGCCGTCGCATCCGGCGGCGAGACGTTGAGATCCGGGATATAATTGGGTCCCCCGTTTGGTGCGGGGTCCACAAAATTCTGGTCACCACCCTCAGCCGGCACCAGAAAACAGAAATCCACCACTTGCCGGCGGCTGCTGCTATGGCGTAAGGTCATGTTCAACCGGAAAGCCATAATTGCAGCCATAGCGTCTTGTCGGGTGGGTCCATTGACCGGGAGAGCAGTCAGAAGAACCTCCTCCGGGCACAAACTAGTACCTCCGCCGCCGCAGTAGGCCGCAGCGTACACCTTCGTCTGTGGGCCCCTGAAGCTGAAAGCAGCGTTTGGAGCCACGATAGCAGCTGAGGCTGGTCTGTGTCCAGCCCCTCCAATGTTACTGCTTTCTTCGACCTTTGCCGGTAGGATCGTTGGCAGACGGACTTCTCTTAGGTGGTGGAGAAGTAAATTGGAAGAAAAAGGGCTGAGAAGAAGAGCCATGGCCATTGCTGCTATAGCTAGCTAGCTCTGAATCAGATGTAGAGAGAGAGAGAGAGAGAGAGAGAGAGATGTGGTTCGGGTGAAGAAGATGGAACTTGTTTGTTTGCTTTATATAGAGCAAGGTGGGTCCCACTGGGTGGGCCCGTCTCTTTTTCATGCAAAGTCAAGGAGTGGTTATGTTACCGACCATTTGATTTGGTTAGCATCGTTCACTAATAGACCTAGGGCCGACAAGAATATGAGTCGATGCAAAATCCCAATAATATTTCTAGTGGAACATCCTTCACAATTCCTAGAAATATAGTTTCACTAATAGACCGAGGGATGACTGCCGGAAATATAATAACAAAAATATTTCTAGTGGAACATCTTTCAAATCCCTGGAATTGGTTTTGGAACCCTCTAATCACCAGTAATTAGTTGATGTAAAATAAATAACAATTCCATACCTAAATTTTATTAGTGTGTGTTACGACTGCTGCACTTGTACAAGTTTCCTCAACTTGGATGACTGCACAAACAAATTATGTTCCGCCCACCTTCTCTCAAGACCTCGAGTAGATAGCAATTGACATGACAATTTTGTTTGATCAGTTTTAGAACAAGCCGAACCCAAAGTGGAAACACGAAAGTCACCCACCTAAAATCAATTGTTCAAAAAGCTCAATTTCAAAAGTACTTTATCATTTTTGTGCATCAACAGATATGATTATTCTCAATTCACATCATGGACCTACCGATTAATGAAATTCAACAAATTTTTTTTACGGGAAAATTCAACAATTTAAATGGTATGAGTTGTACAGGCAAAAGAATGGATGGAACTTGCAATAATATATCCAATGAAATCCAAGTACATGAACCGACTAAATTATGGTTGGCTGTTGATCAGGTTCAGCATAGGGCCATGGATGGATCCCTATGGAATCCGTACCTGAACCAATGAGATGAGAGAGAGCCGAACGAAAACGAAGTTGAAAGTTGAAACCAAGGAACTAGGAAAAAGATAAACAGAAAAAGAAAAAGTTAATAGTTGATATATAAATGGTAGAGACAAGATGGTTTCGTGGGACATGATTCCCACTTTGGCCGCAACCTCCTTTTTCCATAGTCTCCCCAAAAACAATTGGGCTTTTTATTTCTATAATTAATTATGCTGAGAGTAGTTAATTATTTTTTATAT